AGGGTATCATTACAATCTCGCGGTAGACACCAGTGGAGTTGAGAAATGGAGTCGCGAGCCCTCACCGCTCACTCGATCATCTCGCATCTGTGAGATATTGGGCCCGAGGCTGGAGCTTCTGATACTTCCGTAGGAGTTAGCAAGGTTAAGCAAACAGGCTGTGCTTGTGGACGCAAGGGGGAGGAATCCTTCATGTGAACGTCCGTTAGCCCCGGGGCTCATGGAGATATTCGTAAGACGGTTCAAATCAAACCCCACGAAACTTGAAACAATGAACGAAGTGGCCCTGTACACTGGAGCACCCCTGGGGGGAGGGCGGCTGCTGCTGTCTTGAAGCAAGAACCACATCTCTGAGTCATTTGTCCTCTCAAACTGATTTTTCTGCTTGGCCATCAGACACGGAGCTCTGCCTCAGAAATGAGGAGCAAATAGGAGCACACTTCCTTCGTCCCCCTGGCAAGCCGCCAACCAAATCCTCGACCTGCTGCAGCGAGCATGTGGGCATGGCGAAGGAGCTCGTTAACGAGACCGTATTGGCAGAGCCGCGTTGTTGGGCAGAAAGCGGACGCTTGGTTCGATACCAGATGCGCCCCTCGAGATCGATCCGACGGATGGACCAGCCAAAATCCTCGGCAATACAGTTGGGCGTTGGCCGCATGGGAGCCTCGTCTCCGTCATTGCATGCATACTGCGCGGCCGGACGACGTCTGACGGATTGCATGCAGCGCACAGGGACCAAAGACTGTTTTGACACTCAGGACTGGAACCAACAAATACTGCGTCCGCTGATGGAACAATTTACCAGGTCGATCGGTACGGATGCTGCTGTTTGAGATTCCCGGCAGCGTGAGTTTCCCAGAGCGCCGGTACCGCGGCGCCGCGCGTGGCTGACTCACTCGAGGTCTGGGACAGTCCGGCACGGTGAGCTTTGCCGTGGAAATGACGATTGGTCACTTTCGGGACCGGCGGAACGGTCTCGCAATGGAGCCCCGGGCCGGCACCTTTGTTCTCACGGTGGAGCATGGGCTGCTCGCCGTCCACTAGGAAAGGGGGAGAATTCCATGGAGCCGCTGTCGACAAGCCGAGAAACTCGTGTGAAGAAGACCGCTGTCCTGAGCCATACTCTCAGGTCGTCAACTTCATCAAAGACCGCGGTGCAGGGTCGTCTGTCGAGGAGCCTGAATCTAGGGCGGTTTAAGCAGGCATGGGCAGCCCGGCGTCGCAGAAACCTGCAAACTAATGCTCTCGAGTCGCATCTCCGGTGAAGTAAGGTGAATTGTCGAGGGCATCATTGGGCGGGAAGCTCGCCGGCCAGGCGATGTCGTTGACAGCTGACCAGAAGGCAGGCGGACGAAACCAGGGGCGGCCCGCGGGGCTTGCCTGCCCGTGCCCCTGGCGAACTGCTGAAGATGCTTGCTTGCTTGGGCTCGCGCGATCTAGGAGGACGACGGACGCGCGATGCCCTCGCTCGCGTGTTTGAGAACAGAAACACACCGACTCTTTGTTGGGTTGGGACGGACGCGGGGCTTTGTTTGGGTCGACATAGCGCGGGCCTCGAATATGCGGCCAAACGCACACCGGCTCTGGGCAGGCCTCGCGAGTGGCCAGCGGCCGATTGAGCAGCTGCAAGCGCTCCGGGCTCCGTCCAGTCGACAGACAGGAAAGGCCGAAGAGGTGGAGTTGCTGGACCGTCGACGCGCTTTTCCCAGCCACCTCAATTTTTTTGGTGCATGTTTTTGTGCCCGTTGGGATTGAGGATGGACGACCGTTTTCTGCTTTCTGTCAGCCTGTTGGTCCGACAGCCAACCGTGGGAAGCGCGGGTGATTGAAAATAGGAAAGCCGTGATGGATTCAAAACAATGCACCAGAGAGGAAAGAGAAACAGCGACTGCGGTTTCAGGCAGAAGCAGAAAGAGCCTGTCAAAGGTTCCCGTCGCGATGGGGAAAGAGGGACCCTAACGCGGTGTTGCGGCGGAGGTGAGTGTTGGACCTGGGGAAGGGAAGGGGGGAATTGGCTGCTGGGTGCGGCTTCCGTATCAGCAGCAGCTGACAGCTTCTGGAAACTCACCTGGAAGGCGCAACGGGCCAAGTTGTGGGGAGCCTTCACGTGATGACACCGTTTGCAAAAGCTGTGTGACCGTCCCAAAATGTGGGGGTGGGTCGGCGAGATGGCCGCCCGTTTCTCACTCTCACACACTCACTCACCTTTCAACCATGGAACGTTCACTTTTCCCTGACTGGTTGTTCCAGCCGTTCCGGTCTTGCAGTCACATTCACCTGTTTCTGGCACTAGGAATGATTGGATCGCGGAGGTGAGCACGGGTTGCCGCGAGGGCCCGATTTCCCGCTGGTTCCCATCCGCAATCGTCCGTTCTTGAAACAGCAGCAAGGCTCCGTTGATGCGGGCAAACGGATAACGTTGCGGCCACTCGAGGTTGCTTGGAGAGCTGTTGCCCAGCTGCACGCTTCTGCGCGCGTGGTGGAGATTCAGGCTGCTGGCGGGACGACGATGACGGAAAATCGTTCGCATCGCGGCTGAAGCAGTGTCTGGCATTGCATCAGCGAGCAGCTCACCGCTTGGCCACCTCGGACGCCCATGCTCGTGCACCACAGGATCCCGGGTTTTCAGCCCTCAACACCATCACGCCCATCACCACAATACTATGTGCCGTTAGAATGGGTCATGCTGCCCCCCCCACGGTCACGGACCGCGGTGCTTGCGAGAGGAGAAACAGAGACAAGCATCTGCCTTCAGCGACTCGGGCTCATCACAGCGTCAACCCCCACCCCACTTACCGTAGCTGCTTGCGCAATGGAATGACCGCCGTCTCGGATAGCGGCTGGATCTGGATAGGCGGCGGCGACCTTTCGACCAAGTTCGCCCGGGGGCCGTAACGGGATCTTCCTCACGGGGTGCTCCCGCTGCTCACGAGGCTCGGCCAGGCCCTCGCGAGTCCGTTGCTTTGGGTGTGGGAGCAACCGCTGGCCCGCGACAGGCGAGTGGCCCAACTCCTGTCTTGGGTAGCGATGCCCCCAAGGTCCATTTCTGCCCAACCTGCTCTGGGGCGGCCATTCACAGTGATTCTTTTCGCGACAGCCCAATCATGAGGGCAGCGCCCTTCAGCAGCGCTCGTCCTGCGCGCCGTTCGTCGCATCCACCCCCTGCTGGTACCCAGTAGTCTTGTTCCTCTCTGCTTCCTCCCCCCCCAAACGCGAGGGCAAGCCTCTCTGGGCGTCGCCCGCGGACAGTCGGGGGCTTTGACCGTTGACGCCCCCGTCGATGCATCGATTCCGCACGCCGAGCCCCGGTTGGGCCGCTCCGCAACGGCAGCTAAACATTCACACCCGCAACCCGCAACCGGCGGACGATCACTGATTCGATCTCGGATACTACCGTATTTGTCTGCTCAAGGCATCGTGCTCTTCACAGTCGACCAACGTGACGGCCTGCGGCAACATGACGATGGTTCCTATTGGAAATCACCGTCAACCGATCGCCATGGCAAGGCGCTCTCTCTCTTGGGTACCGCCTCAGTCACAGCAGGTCTCCTCCAGGTTTTGCGCACGAAACGGAGGGTGCAAGAGAGAAGATCGCGCAACACGCGGTGCTCCGTTGCGGAAAACGCCCCACGCGGCAGTTTCGCGACTGGCCCAATCTCATCCCGCAGACTCTCTTTGTCTTTGTTGATGACTCCTCAAGAGAGCTTAGTGAGTCGACGGCGCACACCCTGGCTTTGGCTTGTCTCTGAGTCTGACGGAGCAAGCGTCATCAGTTTCGCTCTCTCTTCTCTTGTTTCCCAACAAGGGTGTGCGACGGTGCGCGCTGCCCAGAACGGCACTCTTGAGACCCTCCCCCGGTCCCAGATCGGATGTCTCTGGTCGCACACCCCCATGCCAAGATCAACATGCCACTCCCCCCCTCCACAAGTTCCCGCGCAGAGCAGGTCCTCCGCAACATGCACCCGAGGTACCACGCTTGCCACAGTCCCAAGAGCCCGCTTCCCAAGAGCCCGCCCCGCTGCAATTGGGCGGGCTTCGGATGTGCTCCTGGCTGGGAAGAGGAGCATCCTGCAGCACCGGCCTGACCACGGGCAGAGCACAAAACATACTTATAGAATGAGGACCCGGCGTCCCGTCTGCCCCCTCATCCACCAGCAACCAGACAGTCATTGCCCACCAACAACCGCCTTCGACAGAAGCAGCATTGCACCTGCTTGACTGAAGAAGAGTTTTTTTTTCCATCGTTTCTTTTCTCTGCTTTACGAAACTTACGAGGTACCTTCACACGCCAGCCAGTCGTTGGAGCTCATCTCACAAAACTCTCTTATTACTTACAACAACGCAACAAAAACTCTTCGCTTCACTCGCCATCTTCCACCAACGTCACCAGCTCTTCCAAGGAGTCCGGGCTTTGGTCTCAAAACCCCCTCCTTCCAGAAGGACAACAGCTTTGTGCGACTGACACCCGAAAGAGTGTATGTGACACCTCCCTCTTCTCTTCTTCTTTTCCCGCTTTAAAAACCCTGCCCCTGCCTCCCGCTCTCCCCGCTCCGGGAACTCCCCTCCCCCACTTGCTTCTCTCAACCCACTTTTCCCCTCCTCATTACTATACCGCAGCGCACTCAGTGAGTGCTTGGGTTTTCCCTGTTCTCATCACCCATCACCATCAATATTACCATCACTCTCAAACACATCCAACCCTCGCGATCCAAACGCTTTTAGAAAGGGTACGCACTCTCTCGGAAAGGTCCTCGGTGACTTTTTCCCTACACCCCTTAGTGGTGCATACATCCGCTCGCTCCCGGCCCCTGACCCCCCTGTTCCAACCCTGGCCACTCCGAAAATAAAAAGCCCTCACCGCTCGGCACCCATGCACACTCAGCTCGGCAGCCCACTAACACATAAGATAGGATCTGTTCGCACACTTTTTTCTTCCCTCACGGGATATCAACTCACAACAACCATTCACTCACACAAACACACACATTCAGCGGCCCACCATGGTCTCCGCATTCCAGATGCAGTCCTTCTACAGGACACCGCTATCGGTAGAGACGAACGCTCAGAAGTTCTTCGAGGAGGAGGACGGCAACATTCTTGACGAGAACATCCTCGACCAGAGCGCGCTCGACTCGGGCTTGGAGATGTCCCCGCCGATGGCTGAGAGCAGGCGGGATTCCTTTGGTGTGACCCCGTCGATCTTCTCGCCCAAGACGGAGGACTGGCAGTCGGTCGAGATGCAGTCGGTGCCCTCGAACAACCCTTTCTTCGAGGCGGCTCAGAGCAACAACCCGTTCTTGCGCATGGACCAGAACCAGCAGGCGGCCTACCAGAGCCACGCCAACAACTGGCCCATGACCAGCTCCGGTTCTGCGACCCCGCAGCTGCAGGCGTTCGACGGCCTCCCGGTCGAGTATGATGCCAACAACCTCAACATGTTCCACCGGTCCGGCAACATGCAGACCGCGACGCCCTTCACCACACCGGCGAACCCGGTCGCCATGTTCCAGCAGCTCGGCCACGCCGCGCCTCAGTCGATCCCGACCTCCCCGCAGAAGGAGGCCTGGATGGGACAGGACCTCAAGGCCCAGGCCCTCAAGCGCCCGCGTCCGGCCAGCCCCATCATCCGCTCGCACAACGAGCTCCGTCGTGGTGATGGCATCCGCAAGAAGAACGCGCGCTTCGACATCCCTGCCGAGCGCAACCTCAGCAACATCGACCAGCTCATCTCGCAGTCCACCGACGAGCAGGAGATCAAGGAGCTCAAGCAGCAGAAGCGTCTTTTGCGCAACCGCCAGGCAGCGTACGTATCACTCAAATGATTTCTAGGGAGTTTCATTCACTAACATGACATCCAGGCTTGACTCGAGGCAGCGCAAGAAGCAGCACACGGAGCGCCTCGAAGATGAGAAGAAGCAGTTCACCGAGGTCATCGGCAGCCTCGAGGACACCATCGCCAAGATGGAGCGCGACATGCAGAAGCTCTCGATGGAGAAGCAGAACTACGAGTCGTACATCCACGAGCTCGAGCGCAAGCAGGAGGACATGATCAGCGAGCACACCATCGAGACGGGTGAGCTGCGCAAGAAGATCTCCGTGCTGACCAACGAGGTGCAATCCATGGGCCGTGCCTCCACCACCGCGTCGGGCTTCCCCGGTGCTTTTAGCGAGATGGACGGCATGACCATGGACTGCTCCTGGGACAACATGCCGATGTTTGGCGACTTCCCCATGGAGCAGGGCACCCCCGAGGTCAAGCAAGAGATGCAGATTGTGGCGGCGAACAAGAAGTCCGAGGTGTCGCTGTCCGACTCCGAGAAGCCCGCCCAGCAAGGTGGTCTGCTCTTCATGCTCTTCCTTGTTGGCGCCTTTGTGCTCTCGAGCCGGTCGTCGACCCCGAGCATCCCGCGCGTCTCCGAGGATGTGCGCGCCGCGTCCGCCACCCTCCTGGAGAACGTGCTCAAGGATGCCGGCGTCTCGCAGGTCGCCTCCAGCCTCCAGGCCATGGCCCCTCAGCCGTCGGGCACCGCCGCCGCCAACTGGGCCCAGGCCTCAGCAGCCGCGCAGCAGTCCTCGTCTCTGTCCATGTCCGCGCCGATGGTCGACAACGCCGTCGCTCCGTCGGTGCTGGGCGAGATGGCGGACGCGCTGACGCGCCCTTCCGAGCAACAGACCAACGAGCAGATCTTCTCGCTGTCGGCTGCGCAATACAATGACCTGACCTCCCAAGATTTCCTCCAGCAGGCTGCCACGTCCGCCGAAAGGTCGACGAGCCAAGGGAGACGCAATCTTGCCGAGGCCCTGGCCACCATGCGCAGCTCCGGCAAGCAGTCGTCTGCTGCCGAGGTCTACACTCGGTCGCTGCTCTGGGACCAGATCCCCGGCGACGTCGTCCGCACCTTTGCCAGGATGGTCGCGGAGAGTAACAACGCCGCGGCCGTCTCTGGTGAGGACCGCGCTTAACTGTGCTCTTCTTTTTAACGCACCCTCTCCGATTTGATGACCCGTTTTACGAAGTTACGACCCCGTTTATGACCAAAACCAAACCCTTACCTCAACCTCGTCACGACCATGACGAGCGTTTGAGCACGATATAATCTGCGCCCCATGACCCCCAACAATTCCACGACACACAGCATGAACAGAATGAAGGCATGCAACAGCACTCCCCGGTCTTGATTTTCAGCGTTTATTTCCTCGAGCGGTTATTTCCTCATCTCCTTCCTCTCTTCTCCTTTGGACCACACAATACACTTGATCCGCTCTCGCGACCACAACACCATCACGACACAGACATCCGCAGCTCACGCACCGGATGTTTGTTGTTTCGATCCCCCCTTCCTCCATCAGTTTGATCGACTTGGCTTCAGTTTTGCTCTTTTAGCCTTTTCCTTCCACAAAGAGTTCTAGCGAGCGAGCATTGGCTTTTCTGATTTCGACTTGGCTTTGCGTTTTGGCTTTTGTCGGCGGCGCACCCTCCTCCTCACTCCCCCCTAATCTTGTTGATTTTTCCGATTTCTTCGACTCTTGTCTCCTTTTGCTTTTGGCGCTGGGTACGGGATATTGGAAATGGTTCTGGGCAGATGTCTTGGCTGCGAAGGTTCGACACGGGTTAAGGGAAGCCGGCAACGGCGAACGGATTTTTTGCACTGCTTTAATTTTTTCCTTGTTTCTTCATTAATTTTGGCGGAAAGACTTTTTTGGGGCGACCGGCGACTGTGACGGATCACCAACCCTCGCATCACCACCATCTTCTTCTACTTTCTCCTTATTGTACCGACGCTGCTTGTTGAAGAACGGCCTGGCTTTTTCGATCATGTCTAGCTCCACGGGCGGAGAAATCTCTCGTCGACACACAGACACAAGACGTCTCGCCACACGCCTTCTACTCACTCCAGACCAGGAGCAAAAGGGGAACACAGGAAAGGGATTTTACCAACATCGTCACGCGAACTTGGCGGACACCGAGCGGGGAGGAAGAGCCCAGCTTGGTCGAACCCATCTCGCACACACCACCACACGTCCTTGACGAAGAAACCCTTTCCTTTGTGGAAACCAAAACACCTTTTTCCCTCTTCTCTTCTCTTCTCTTTTTTCACATCAACCAACCAACACACTCGTTTGCAAACGACAAAATCCGATTCGACCCGGGCGACCACCATCACAAACGGCGCCTGATTACCCTTGGTTTGCGAACTCCTCGCGGGCAACCGTGGGTGATGGGTAATGGGAGATAATGGATGGGGAAAGCCGCGACATCGCCCAAACGATGCGATCTCGTGTGCGAATACCCAACTAGCCCTACCCACCACCTAACAACAGCCCGCGAGCCACTTCACAAACAAGGCCCTTGTTTTCCACAGAACACGCCCACGCCCTAGCCAGCCACATACATCATGGACTGAGCGACAGACGCGGACATGTTTTGTCTTCTTCTCAACAAACCGACAAGAAAAAGAAAACCGAAAAAAAAACCATGTCACCATCACCACCATAGTTGAGGGCATGGAAACACCACCTAGGAGGGAAGAAACTCGCAATACCTTCCGGCGAAGGGGACTTGGAACAGCCCCTCTGCTCTGCAAACGCCACTCATTACGGTTATTCACAACAACAAACAAAACAAACAAAAACACCAAAAAAATATTTTGACAACTTCTTCGACTTTTTTTCTTACCTTTTTTTCACTTCTCATGGCATGGCATCCCTTCCCGTTGGAAGATCTTTGGTAGCTTAGGCAGATGGTACAGAACCGAGGAGGACAGGCAGTTGGTAGTGGTGGAACGCACGTACATATTTGACAACACACACACAAAAATTGGTGATATAGCTTGGAGAGTATTTCCTTTTTGAGTTTTGGCAATTTTTCTTAGAATCTTTTTATATTAAAATGACATCTTTTGCTTTGACGCACTTTTGGCCCTACTCGACTTGACGTGACTTGACTTGATGCGATGCTTGATGCGATGCTTGATCTGTGGTGTTGTGACTTGATCATGATGGTGACTTGGTGATGACGGTGATTTCGCAAACGAGGGGCCTCAGAACACAGCCCTACCCCTCACTTCGTTCTCCCACAGCATCAAATCAAGTCATCAATCAGCCTCTGAGCGAATGAGCGAGTGGGCAAACCCCGGACCTTCCGGAGTTGGGTACTTTCCCCGTCTCACCACCCTCCATTTTCTCGAGGAGGGGAAATGTGTGACCTCCCACCTGCGAGGCCAACTCATCAATCACCTCTCGGACTCGGCCGTCACATACTTCCCAGAACCTACCGAACCTACCGTAGCACACCATCCCACCTTATCCGGGCCGTCAGCCCACCCACCCGAGCCACACCCCTTGCTTTGGTTTGCGTTGCGTTGCCTGCCCGGGGAGGCTTGTTTGAGCTTGGTTTGTGGCCTAAGTCTGGGTCTTGCTTTGCCCCGCGGCCTTTCCCCGCGGTTTTGGGCCATGTGGATGGGCAGCGATGCATTTATTGGTTTCTGATTTCTTTTGGGGGTTGTTACCTACTGACCTGGGTACGATAGCTGGCTAGCTAGTTTACAGCCTGACCTGGGATCGACTGATCGAGGTTACTTTCATGGCTTGATTACGAATACTTACGCTCCTTACCTTTTGGTTTTCTTAGGGGAGAATAAGGAGACGCGGGCTTTGGAGTTTGCAGTTTGGATTTGAGTTTGGGTTTGGGTTTGCGTTTTGGGTCAGGGCCGACCGGGCCGGTGATGGCGGTCGGTTTGCTCTCGGAAAAGTTGGAGAAGGGGATGGAGATTCGCATTTTCGGTGAGGAAAGGGTGGTGATTGGAGGCCACGTTTTGGTGATGGGGTTTGAGTTTGTCTCTGCTCTTTTTCGCCCCTTTTTCGGTTAATTTTCTGGGGAACCCGCACGTCTAGACCAGGTCCCGCTTGACTTCCTCGCCGTTGAAACAATACAGTAATTTTTCGGGGAGAGCGGCCAATGCAACGGAGGTCGCGTGGAAATCGTGATGGGCGTATTGAAGATGTGATATGGGCTTCTTGGAGAACGTCGCAAAAGACAAATATCTCTGGCTGCAGCAAATGGGGGCCCTTTTATATTGTGACAGAGAAGAGAAATGCAGTACTGTGAAGAACGAAGGGAAGGGTGCGGTTGCACCAAGTCTAACTACATGCTATCGCTAGATCTCATGCGCGCCACAGATCCACCACATCGCGATACATGGTCTTGTCCAACTCTTGAACAGCCAGTGCCGTTCTCGAGTCGCTGGCATGAGACGCGCACCCCAATGTTTAGGGTAACTGAAAGAGAAGAAAGTAGCACGCAAACCATCATATCCACCGCTGGCCCGAAGAGAGCGAGAAATAGAGAGAAGACAAAAAGCTCGCGTTGTGTTCCCCGCCCTAGTTCAATACTGACTGCCCAGATGTTGATATTCCCTGAAATCAGGCATCGGCGTCCCTCTTCATGGTCTCTGCGATCCACTCCCTAGTGGGCTCCGAGATTTTGTTAATCTCCTCCTCCGTCATCTCGTTGGTGGCGAGATACTTGTTCGGGCCCGGGGTATTGGCACCTTTCTTAAAACCCGGACGCTCGAGCAGTCCCCAGAACCACTTGGAAACACTCGGGTAGTCTTCGATAGAGCGTAATCCAGAGTACCCTATAACCGGTCAATGAAGAGATCCCATGGCCTATGTGAGACTGGGCAGTCAACACTTACTAATCGCAGACACCCACGGCCAAATGGCAATATCAGCAATCGTGACCCGATCACCGACCACGAACTTGGCTCCTTTCTTCTCCAGATGACCATCCAGGACCCGGAGCAAGCGGCGGCTCTCGTTGACATAACGGTCGATAGAATACTGGTGGACGCCCACCGTAGAACCTATAGTAGTAAAACGTCAGACATGATTCCCGGCCTTCCGCGATGTTTTTGTGCGGTACGGTACGTACGAGTGAAGACGTTGGCCTGGCCCATCATAGGCCCGAGGCCACTCATCTGCCACATCAACTAGGCACGGAAGAGTTAGCCAGAGGCAATTTCACCTGGATAAGTTGGGCCCGTTCGGAATATTTGAGTCCCTTACCCAGCTAATGGTCTCCCAGTGCTCCTTGGTCCCGTAAGGATACGAGATCAGGTGGTTCTTGTCGTACGTCGCCACCAGATACTCTAGGACCGCGCCCGACTCGAAGATCTTGAGCTCCACGCCGTTGGCTGTTTTGTCAGTGATGGCTGGGATACGCCCGTTGGGGTTGATCTCCGTGAACCACGGCTCCTTTTGCTCGTTTTTGAACAGAGCGATTGGCACCAGCTGTGTCATATTTATGTCAGGTTCGTCATTCAGCCGGGCGTCGGAGAGAGAAGGAGCTGTCATGACACGAACCTTGTAATCGAGCCCGAGCTCTGCCAGGGCGATGTGAAGTTTCAATCCGTTAGGCGTGCCCTCGCTGTAGGCAACGATATCCGTCTTGGTCGTCATCCTGAATTATGCTGGCTCGCTCGCTTCTAAGTTCAGGATCTCAGGGCAAAATTTTGGGTGTCAAGGTGTAGCTGATATTTGTTTGTGAGAAGGTTTCGACAACAACCTCGGTGTGCCAGAACTACGAACATAAATACTTCAAACATCATCGTCCTGGTTTGTAATGTGTTGGCATTGACCTGGTCTTCGCAAAACGTCTGTTTGGAGTCTGACAAATTGGAGGACACGGTCGGAACATCATTTGCGTCTCAATTAATAATGAAGGTGTTAGACGTCGGGATCCATCTTCAGTATCTCATGATGAATTGTCGTTTCCTTGCGAAGAGTGTCCGAGACAAGCAAAAGGTCTCGGTCTGAGGAGCTGTAAGATCTCAGGGACCTGATGCCCGATTAGGCAAAGAAAAGTACATGACCGGGTTTTCAGCGTGGTGGGAAATCACGAGGAAGGCATTGGCTACCGGAGTGCTATGGGCTAGGATTGACTCGATTTGAGGCCGTGAACTCGTTTTTCCTGAGCGGTGATATCAAAATCCGAAGTCATGTTCTTCCTGCAAAACACCAGGGACCAAATGCCCAATTGGGAAAGCCCCCAATAACACCGCCAGAACTGGGGCCGCACGGAAGAGTTCCTGCAAGATGCCAGGGACCAAATACCTAATTAGGAAAGGCGGGACCCGGCCGGCACGTGGGTGGACCCGGCACGGCGCCGGTGTGGAGCCGGCAGGAGATCTCAAACACACACTTCCAATCTCCGATGCTGACTAACAACCTTTAACGACGGTCATTCTCAGTCCCGAGAAGCAACACCACCAGAAACCTCTGTAGCTCTCCTTTTGTTCCCTCCTGTTTCTCTCCTTCGCTTCGGATTCTGTCTCCTGACCCCTTGTCACACCCCAATGCGAGCCATACCACATGATACCACCACCATGAGCCCCGTCAAGCAGCAACGACTCCTTTGGGTGCATTGCACCGAACCGACAGGAGGCATTCGCCGTCGGGATAAACCCACCATGACGAAGATCCGTCGCCATATCATGGAAGACATTGGACGATCACGACGCAAGCCCAAACGCAATCCGCAGTTCGCCGTCGAAGCTGGGTCTCCTCCTTCTCCTCCTCTTCCTGCGTCTGCCAATCACCCAGAGACAAACTCTCTCTTGCCGCCATTCTGGAGCCAGGATCCACTCGAATTTCTAGAACAGCAGTGGGGGATGGATGTCTTCTCGGCGTACGGGCTATCGTTATTGGCTGCCGAGGGCAAACGACTACTACTCCGCAGCAATGCAGACGATGCATTGACTTCCGAGGGTTTCTCATTCCCGTTTGCTTTCACATCGTCTGTATTCCTCCGCCACTTCAGGGCCATTGGGATCTTCTCCGACCCGTCTGTGCTTAAGGGGATCTACCACCAGTCATCTGGGAAGGTCAAAGTTATGGCACTGGAGCGTTCCATGGGGACAATCTCGTGCATAGAAGCGGCCTTGGCGAATCCTAGTTTTGAGCTGGCCACAGCAGATCGAGTCATTTCTGCCGTTCTGTCAGTTATTTGTTACAACGTAAGTGAGACGCCTGCGTGCGTGGCTTGTCACCGTCACTCTAACCGTCCCACTAATGATCCTTCCGCGCAAGCTCTTGAGCCTCGAGTTTGACCAAGCACGTCTCCATTTGGACGGCCTCGGAAGCTTGATTGCTGCCAGAGGCGAGATAGCGTCCCTGAAGAATAACAATGAGCTGAGATTAATGATTTTCTGGTACGGCTAATCGGATCTGGCCCTTCGATTGCAGGCAGCTAATAATTAATCTGGGTCCAAGGGTCGACGTCACGATGTGCTTGCTGTTCAACACGAGCCCACGGTATTCGCTGCCCCTGGACCTTACCCCGGCAATGTTCCCCATGGGACCATGTCCCTCAAAGGGTTTACCGAGACCGCTCTCGAGAATTCTCACGGCTGCCGGGGCTGAAGGCGGGGTGCAGTTGGCTCACATCCCGGCTTGTGTCGCCGGCTTGAGCCAAGTAGCCCTTACCATTGAGTCGGAACTGGCTGTGAGAGGGGATGCCTTGTGGAATGATGAGATCTTCCTGGGGCTACGTATCAACCCCCTCGCGCATCGTTTGTTTGACCACGCAGGACAAACCACACGCACCAGATTTTCTTCTCACTTAGATCACCTCTTGGCATCCATCCGGCTCGGGATTATCGTCTGGATTATCTGGGCGAAACGGATGTGTCGATCCTGGCCCGGCTCTCCCATGGCATACGTGCCCGAGTTGCTGGACATGCTCAGTATGGAGTCCGAGTGGACGGCAGACACCGCCTCGGGTGGTGCGTCGGATGACGTCCTGTCTGTGAGGCTCTGGCTCAGTGTTCTCTGCGGGATTTCATCCCGTCGCGGGTCACGCGAACGAGAAACGGCTGTAAGCCTGATTGCAGAGGATATGCATCGACTAAGCCGGAAAGAATGGAGTGAAGTCATGCGGAGGGTACGGCAGATGCCATGGATCAGCTCGTTTGAGACACCTTTGGCTGAAGTAAGAAGTCATATTGAGCTGCTTCATGTGTTGTAATAGCCACATTTGAGTTGGTAGCTTGCTGGAAAATAGTAGGACCGGAACTCCTTCTTCTCACCAAAACGAGAACGAAACAAGTATCTTTTTAGGCATTATCCAGCTTTGTCATCATCAACCATGCTCATGGGCAAAATCCGAGCAGCATATTCGTAGATGCACAGTATCCCCGAAAGGAATGGGTGTGTGCAAAAAGGGGTGAATCCTAGAGTGCAAGGGTGGCTACCGCAACGGCCCAGAAATTTAGCTCCAGAAAGGACCCAAAAGAAAAACTGGGGATGGTATGTGCATCTGTATTTGTAATCTACCATATCTAGTTGTGGTGTTCCTAAATCGCCGAGCCATCGACTACATATAAGCAACGATATATCTGCTCCTCTGGGCAACTTCGACTTCGTCCCTCAAACACTTGGAACATCTTTTCTTAGAGATCCCTTGTCAGACATCTCTAAATTCTCCTCTCAATCCCAACACGGCTGCGTATCTAATCAGTCTTATCCTCAACATGTCAACCTCCTCAAGTCACCCAAGAATCATCGTCGTTCTCGGAGCCACAGGGAACCAAGGCGGTGGCGTCGTCCGGGCACTGCTCAAGTCCAAATCATGGATCGTCCGAGCCGGCACCAGTGACCCAACCTCGCCCAAAGCCCAAAAGTTTCTGGCCGAAGAACAGACCAGTGACAACCGGCTGGAGCTTGTCGCCGCACACGTCTACCAGATCGAAACTCTGCGGACAGCCTTTGCTGGCGCCTACGGAGTCTTCGCCATCACCAGCGAGCGGCACCCGGACAAGGAGATCGTTGACGAAGCGGATATGCAGCACGAAGTTGAGGCCGGCCGCAACATTGTTCTCGCTGCCAAGGAGTCCAATGTTCAGCATTTTGTCTTTAGCAGTCTGCCCGATATGCAGCTGGCCACGTCGGGCCGGTATCCTCAGCTATACCACATGAACAATAAGTATGCCGTCGAGAAGATTGCTAGAGAAGAGCTCCCGGGGAAAGCCACTTTTCTCATACCGGGTTTCTTCTACACGAATCTACAATGGCGGCAGTATTCTCGGCGTTTGGGTATGTCGAGCTACATCTCATCTGAACCCCCTTTCCCCTCTTATTCCACCCATGACTCTGGGCGATTGATTAAAACTAACATGGGTTCCCCCCACAACGTAGATAACGGCGTGGTGAGGTTCTGCTTCCCACTTCCGTCAAACCAGGTGTGCCAGTGGACGGACCCAGAACACGACATGGGCGCTTTCGCAGCAAGTGAGTCCAACATCCCATCTCAACCCCAAAACCCCCTACCGTATACCTTCTGTCTAACCAGCCCCACTACAAAACAGGAGTATTCGACCTCGGCATCGACCTCACCCACGACAAGACCTACCTCGCCATGACCCCCCCAACCACATCACAAGAGATAGCAGACACCTTCACACGAGTCACAGGACAACCAGCCATCCACGACCCAGAATCAGCCGAAGAGTTTGCCGAGCTCACGGTCCCACTCGTCGGACGGGGTTTTAAAGAAGATGCTAAGCAGATGATGGAATGGGCTGCCATCGCTCCGAAGGACAAGGTTGCCTATGGAGCGCTGGATCGCCGGGAACTTGACCGTTCTGTTGAGGAATTGGGAGTGGTTGCGAGCTCGTTTGAGGGGTGGTTGAAGAGGAGTGGCTGGACGGGGCCGGAGCGTGGGTGAGGTGGTTGGTGTTGAGCTGGTGGTTTAGTGATATGTTTTCTTGGATGGAAACGGTGACGGTTGAGAATGTGAATGGATTGTTAGAGAAGTCATCGAGTCTTTTGTTAGTTCAAAGAGGATATTTCTTCTTTCAAGCAATTGAGAGCATCGGGGCACGAAGCTCAGAAGCAGCAGAATAAGTATCATCGTTTTGATTCTTCGTAAAGAAGATCTGTATGTTTGAGAGACCTGTTACGGATTAACTTAACGCAATAAATTGCTCGACTTGCTTTGATCAACTGGCTTTGAAGTCGCAAGGCACTCAAAAGGGGCTCACCGCCTACTGTGTCTCAGGCGGTTACAGCGGACTTTCTGCCGGGCAGAACCACTGTACTTTACGAGGCGGTGAACCATTTCTCCCGTGACCAAATCTCCATCGGGACTCCAACCGCTGGCTCACCGGCGCTCACCCTGCTTCGGAGGTCATTACCCAACCACCAGTTACAGTAGGTAGGTATGTCCATGTACCCGGACGCAAGCCAAAAGCGCAGCGAGGCTCTGGTCCATTCAACCGTATCTTGCCCTTGCTAGATAGAGGTGGAAACGGCTTATACATCGCAGCCTACCTCAGAGGCTATATCAAGATACAGGAACCATTGGGGGTGGGTTTGTCTGCGCATCCGCGCAAGCCCACCATTCTCCTCCAAAACCTTCACATCCCCTCTTCATGTGCTTCGTCTGTGCCTTGCTCATGCAGGAGAGACATGCATCAATACATCCATACTTACCTACATAAAATGCAGGAAAAAAGGCATTTTCCCTCACATTCATCCATCCAACCATCCATACAAACGCTTCCATGCTGCCCCTCCCCCACACCATTCATTCTTCAGGGAAAGCTAGAGGGGAAAGGAGGGGCACATGCGCTGCAATGCCAACTCACCCAACCACCACCGCCGCCCACTTTCTATTGCTCACGAGGTGGTATGTAGGGGGTCATTACCACCACGGAATGGGTATTTTTTTGACCTTTTTATTATCACCGGGTGATTTGTTTGTTGGGGAATGCTGGTATGGATTGTGATGAGATGTCGTCATGGATGGTAAAATGGAGAGATTGTTGAAGAGTCTCCGTGTAAAAGGGAGGGTCGCGGGGTTTCGGAGGCCGTCCACCTGCGTGGGCGGAACGGCGTAAGTTCAATCGCTTCGGATACTGTACAGTACCTAGGTATCCTTTCCCTATTTTCGCGATCTTATTATCACCCATTTGAGTCACACTACGGCTAAACATCCCCTCGCATCGGGAAACTCCAATTCCCCCGATCCTGTCCCGTCCCGTAAAGATCTCAAGTGAGGCGAACGGTATCACACACCAAATTCATGCAAAAAACAAACGATTCGACCACAGAGCCTCCCTTTGAACCGTTGTGAGGCTTTCCCACAGATATATTGCTCAAGGCAGACTTTTCCCGTAGGTCTCAGGAGGACTGGCCTGCGGCTGCGTGTGCTTGCTACGTGAGATCCATGTTATTGGGGGATTGGGCAGCGAAAGGTGCAGGGTCGGGTTGTGGTTCATTGGTACGCTGGTGTTGACTGGCTAGTGGCTCTCGAGAAGGTGCTCAATGGGAAGTGATGGTTTCGTGGGGGGTTGTGCAGCCTCGTCTCTTTCTCAACTCCGGGGAAAAGATGGGTGGTAAGGCAAGGTTCGATTGCGCGGGGACACAGGGCATGGGTAAGAACCATTCGAGATCCAACGGCCTCGAGGCTTCATACACTTTCCCCATATCACCGATTTCAACGCTTGACTGAGACGAGAGCCGAGCCCAGCGAATCAAGACACTGAACCCCGCAATAGTCGCATGCCTCTTTCCTGCTTGCCCCGTCACACGGCACATGTCGTATGACTAGATCGAGATGCTGGCAAATTACAATGTACGACCGTGGTGCGATCTCCAGAAGCAATGTGCTTGCGAAGCGTGGGGTTCATGCTTGTGGGGTGATGTTGAGTAACGGCCGAGCCCGGAGGTTCAAAGATGGATACCGTAGTTCAAGATCAACGGCGGGGGACAGACACAGGAACCTTTTGCGGAAGTGATAAGTCGGATATAACAGTCACTATCGTGCGTGCTTCGTATCTGATCGTAGTTTGTCATCAGATAGAGGGGAACTGAGACTGGGATTGGGACTGATGCAGTGCGTTGATGTTGACGACGAGTGTCTCATTACCACTTTCACACCATCAGACCATGCTTAGCACCTACTGCTTTGAGATTTCTCTAGCTGTTATATTTGACTCCTCATTAGGTGTCAATCAACAGATCTCATACGATGGCCGCAACCTTTTCGAGGTGGTCGATCATCTCAGGGGTAATCAGGGGTAGCCGCGACCGATAGCAGGACGGTGGCGAAAGTCACGAATCACACCGATGATAACGAGTATCGGCTTAAATTGATTTGCTCCTCATTCGGTGCCCAAGGTGTGGCCGGGTATCTCACCTCACTCGCCGGCATCAGGCTTTGGCCGCAGATGCCCAATCTTGCTCTTTTGCCCGGCCAGAGTCTTTCCAGGGACACAATCTCACCAGTCAGTAGTCAATGTAAACACGGATAGGAACAAAGAAAGTCCATCTCTTCAATCTTGCTGATTATTGATCTCAACAGCGATACCATAATCCTTCACGCCTAGCATAATCGTACACCACAAGCTGAAGCCAGTAAACAGCATCTCTCCTCTCAAGCCCTCCGTTTTCTCCCTTCCAAAACGGAGCTGCCCCTCCAGTCTCTCCAAGATACCTTCCCTCAACACCACGGTACTTCCTTCAAGAGCCGTGTCTCTCAGGAGAGGAGCGTGCATGCAAAACGTCCTGCAATGCAGACGCAATGCGGGGGGGTAGGCAGACCAGACCAAAACACAGAACAGGGCCCTTCTCACCCTATCTCTCTTGTCTCTCTTCCCTCTCTCTCCCATGCCCCCACCATCGTGGCCCAATAACCTCCACTCATCAACCCCCGAGCCCAATGTCCACTCCTTATCCCATCGTCTTATTCGAACCAAACAGCATCAAGCACCCCCCTTATTTGACAGAAATTCCCTTTCTTATCCCGGGGATCCGGCATACCCCCTCTAGTAAATATGGAGAACCAATCCACAAACCAAAACCCAACACCAAACAGATAAAGAGAAAAAAAAAGGGTCCCAAAGGGGGTCCCTACCTTACCCAAAAGAAGAGAGACAAGACTAAAGCAAGCCAAGAAGGCCCCTCCAAGCCAGCTGGTTCCTACCGCAGTCCGATCTCGCCATCCAAATTGAACCAAACAGCTAAACAAGGACCCTGGAACCCAAGTAAAGAATCTGAGACATAAACAGAACAGCAAATCCCCCACTGCATTGACAACGCTGACACTAAATGATGACGGATGGTGATGACGACTACTATGGCGGGAAGCTCGAGCGACGACGACTGGGGACGACGGGGACGACGACGGCAATGATGGGGATGGGGGATAACCGACGAACGAACGCTAACTAATGTCATCATCACTAACCAAAACAACAAAAGAAAATAACCTAAAATGAAAAACCATAACAACAACAATTCCAATGACAGGCTCAGCGAATTCCTCAGCTCCGATAATAGGCACTAAGGGGAACCATCCGCTTGGCAGAGACAGACCCTTCAAAATCCCCAAACATAAGCATAAACATTCGACATCAACAAGTGAGCCAACCAGCATGAGAACTAAACCTAAACCAAAGCAAAACATAAACACAAAAGTGCAGAAATGTCACGCTGCTCCTAGGGGCCCAACCCAAAAGAGAGCAAAAGGAAAGGTCAGAGAGGCAGGTAGGTAGGTGTATGTCTGCCCGAGCAAGCAGCAAACCACCCACAAGAGCAGAAAAAAATAAAAACACCAACATCAAAACAATAAACCACACACAACAGGCCGAGCACAACCACTCAGAACCAAACCGATGGCGAGCAGCAGATGCAGAAGTAGTGTAAGCTTCTGGTTTCTCGGTACCCAATACCATCTCCAGATCAAAACCGTTCAAAACCGTTGATTTGATTGTGTCTTTTTTCTCCCATCTCACTCCCGGAGTGAGGATTTACACGTGTAGTGTTTTGTTTATTCGAGATTCGAGAGGCCAGAGGCCGGAGGGGGAAAATAGGTCCAGTCAAACACGGAGACATTTGGAAGTTCCCCACAGCTCAGAGTCCACACAAAATCCCCTTTGACAATGAGTACATACCGGCCAAGTACCACTTCCCGAGCACCCGCCCCCCGAGAGCGGATCCCCCGAGTTCGACCGGACCAGAGAGATCAAGACATACCGAACTAAGACAATAACAGCCGGAGCAAAACACTGCGTTAGTTTAGCCAGTCATGGCGCTGGAATTGGAAAATTTTAGAGTTCTCGGGATCTCGGGGTGCTTTTGGGTTGGTCTTCCACTTCTTAGACCATGACGGCAAACGATGGCGACCGTCCTCTCTCTTCACAGTGACTCACTCACTCACTCTCTCCCCACCATGACTCGCAGTCTTCTCTCGCTCTCGCCCTCTCTGACCTTTGGTTCGTTTGCCCCTTGTTGTGCTTACCGAACGATGGATACGGAATTGGATATGAATATGGTTGTATGAATAATCATGTGGTAAACAGAGGTGTATCCCTTGACCAATAACCTCAACTCCAAAACAGGTGATCTCGCGATCGCCAAGAAAACAAACACGATCAAAGACAAAGAACTCGCCCTTGCCGCGTATCCAAACAGCTGATCTTGCCTGTTGCCGCTCCAAAAATGGTCCTGTGGCAACATTACACCCCAATCGGGGACGCCGAAACCCCATATCCAAAGTCCAGAACGGGTTGCGTACCCTAGCCATAGCCGTTGGGAGGTGAATCGTGGGGGGGTACATGGCGAATCCTACTTCTTGCCATGCCCCGGTTCGTACTTGTCCTTCCATATCCTATTCACGGGGAACAAGGACAAAGATTCGTCATGATCAGCTTCGGCGATTCCAAAAACAATGGCCCCCCACGAGACGGATGACATGAAAGCCAACAGTAATGAGACACAATTAACACAGCCACGGAGAAAGCCATGGAGAAATAACGACAGAACTCGGGGGGCACAACACCAACGGTTGGTTCCTTCAGCGAAACACAAAACAACCGTAAACGGCGACCTCTCCCGGCCAAGGACGACGACAGCAACGCATTTGACCAAATCAAGCGCCATTGCCGCCCACCCGCTCGCTTGGGCGGGGCCGAATGGGGAGAAACCCCGGCCCGGCCGCCAAAGCGGGCCGGCGGTCTCGGGTTGTGAGTGGGTAAGAGTCAAAGGGAAGTGGGAACGGGACTCGTCCAGTTGAAACAAACGAAGAGAAAAAACAGGGCGAGCGAGAAAAACGTGGTTGGACGGCCTATCGCATTCCCACCTGGGGATGCAAGGCAAGGCAAACGCAAGGGTGATGTTGATGCAGTCGGCAGCCGGCAAGTCATCGGGAGAGGCCCACGGTCCGACTCGGCCCACGCCGCCGTCGTTGCGGAGAAAGCAGATCCGCCATAACAAAGAGAGTGGAAGCGAGAAATTGAACGTACCAAGAATTACCAATAATTTTGTTCCCATTCTTCTCCGCCAGCCGGTAATACTTGGCTGCCGCAAACTAATGTGTTGTTGAAGTGTCAGTCAAGCGACCCAGTCATGAGGACATTGATTGCGTCGTCGGGAAATGCTGTTTCGGAGCTGTGATTCGTCGCCCAGACACGGAATCCCGTTGGTGCCCAATGTCCCGGATAGAGTAGCGCCCGCGCAACGAGGTCTGACCCGGAGAACCCGGAATAGGCGAGCCGCTGATAGAAACAACTATGCAGTGGCCGACGGGGACATGTCATGGAGATAGAGATAGTAAAGACCGAACTGACCTTGTCCTTTTTTGTGCCAAATCCTTCAAAATAGCACCAAGCGACCTCGTTCATGGCATCTATCACAACGTCATGTTAGACTCAAGCTCAATGGAGGGACGGGTGCGGTCACGGGCCAGGAGTTCGGGTGGTGGCATGCCTGTGTCCCCCAGATTCGCGGCCGTCTCGTAATACTGCCAGTTCTCGGTCAGCGATGGAAGCTCTCCAAGCCCCTGGATGGCGCATATCCGGCGCTAATCTTCTTCTTCGTTAGACGAGGGGGCGAACCCACCTGCTTTGCGGCAATTGGGTCTTTAGGAATCCCCCATCCGTGACGGAAGCAATTGGCCAATTCGAAGATGGCCAGCACGAGCTCGCCCTTCGCAGCACCACCCTTCTTGAGCCCCGCCTGCAGAGCGAGTTGCTCGACGTCGGCTGCATTAGATGCCGCGGCAGAGAGAAAGGTTACAGCCTTTGCCGTGTCTGGCTGGCAACCCCATCCGTGCCTAGGTCCCTTTATTAGTTCGCGATCATGACGATTATTGGACAATGGAGTGGCCGCGTGGCGAGCATAACAACCAAACAGTGAGTCCTCCCGAGGGAAGACACCATCCGTGTCGGCCGGGACGGTCATGCGTGATGCCCATGTGCTCCGGATGACCCCAAAACGAGTGGACATACCTCAGCGCAAGCCCATACAAGACCTGACTTAGGGGGTTGTTTGCCCCCTTAGGATCCGCCAGCCGCGCAAACAATGCGGTCGATTGATCAAGGTCCCCCGCTTCATGTAACCGAATCGCCTCCTGGATATCCTCGTCGATCGCCTTAGAGGAGACGGCCTTGCTTTGCGAGTCGGAAGACGAGTTGCTCGGCCCGCCGCCCAAGCTGAGCTGCGGGATCACGGGGGCCGCAGAGCCGTGAACGGGAGTAGAGGGCCGACTGCGGTGCTTCTCATTCTCGCGGGCGAGGATTGTCGCGCGCTTCTCCCACTGCGATTCGGTGCCGTCCTTGTCGTCTACGCCTTCAGCCGTCAGGATCTCGGGAAGATCTTCCGGCACGTTCTCAGAACTTGCGGGACTGCGGCTCAGGTGAAGGCGTTGGGAGAGGCGCCTGCCGGAGCTCTGGTGGCTCGACGCAGAGGCGCTCCGACTCCGGTTTCCGCGAAAAACATCGAGGCTAAGGCGCTGCTTGCTATCCGTTTTAGGCTCCGCAGAGAGAAACTGGCCGGGTTCTCGATTGGGGCCCGCACTGGGAGGATAGATAATCTCGGCGTTGTGCGTATCGGTGCGGATAAAGGTAAACTCGGGGCTCGAGGGGTTCGCATCAACGGGCTCCTCTTCTGAGTCGTGCTTCTTCCTAAATTTGTCACGGAGGCCCATGGTCTCGGCGTCGACGCTGGCGCGGCTTGGTGGGGTCGAAGACGGAACAGCGGCTCACAGAAAACGCACGCGGGGTCAATGGGGACTAGCTCGGATGGGTGGAAGCTTCGGGGACAAAGACATATGATTGAAAGAACGACTATAGATGCTTCCCAGCCTGGCGGTTAGAGGAGACGACATTTTGGGGGAACTCAAAAAGCCTGCCCGTCGGCGACGCGCCTCGAGATTGCAGGAGTCAACTGGATTCGGAATGGAGCGGGGCAGTGCCTCAGCTGTTCAGTCGGTTGGCGGGGGTGGGCGGTTCGCCTTGGCGGTTCAGCCGCCCAGCGCACTCAGGCCAGCCAACATCGCGCGCATTCGCAATGAGGTTCGAAATCCGGGATTTTGGTGTTTCACTTTACAGGTGGACAGTTGAGGGCTCGAGTAGGAGAGAGGGGTATTGGGAAATATCGATAAGTCAAAGAACAGCAGGAGCAAAGGGCCGAACTGTGCAATCGCATCCCCACGGTCCTCCAAAAAGGGAAGGTACGTGACACAGTAGGCATGAAACATTGGAGCCCGGTTAGCTCAGCTGGTTAGAGCGTCGTACTAATACCGGTAATACCCGTATATGGTATGCGAAGGTCAACAGTTCAATCCTGTTACTGGGCATTCAGTTTCACTTTTGGCATTTCCTCAATTTTTTTATTCTGCTTCGTCGTCTTCAGTCTTCAATTCTTTAAGTGGGTACGCAGTCATCGCCATCATTCTTATTGTCCCCGGACATCCCGCCCATGGGTACTTTCAACAACGGGGAAGGAAGGAACTGCCTGAACCGACTTGGGCTTGCACTGACAACAGCCACCCAGTTTATTACGGTAAACACGACTTCAACGATATTGACCTTAGAACAGCAAGCCGCCCACAACGGCTATGCAGCAAAAAGGCCCATGCCGAGCATGAACCCCTCTAAGCAGCCGAGGGCTGGGAGGCAGGTGCCCAACGCCCAACCTCGAGCTGCTCCAGTTGCATGGCTCCTAGACGCACCAACGACGTGACGCGATTGGTATTGTGTGTTACGCGGATACGTCTTCACAAGATATCTAAAGGATGGCCTTGACAACAATGCGAGACATTGGGCTTCGCAAAGGCCCCTATTTTGGGTGCTTAAAGTAGCCGTGATACCCGCGCCGTCCAGCACCTGGTCTCCCGCAATATACTTACCCTCAGATTGAATCCGCCCTAGGGGGTAGCAAGAGCCCTCCGGGCAAAAACAAGAATCAGGAACTGGGCACATACTAAATCACCCAATCTCACAGCCCAAACGAATTTCCGAATACAGAAACTGAGAAGCCCGACTTCGGCGCCCGATGCCGGGCACACAAATGCCACTGCCCAACCGGCACCAGACGACTCCAGGAAGTCCCCGGCCTCCGCGATATCTAGCCAAGGGCGCTACCTAAGGAATGCGAGGGGCCTGTCGGTCTCGTATCACAACATCTGCTTTGGGCTTCGAAATCTAGAACTTCGATCCGCCACCAAGCCCCAGCATGCACCTCAAGACCCCAGCACTTCCCAACCATCCCTCCGGGTTTGTTGTGAAACCCTATTCCCAAATTCTAAGGCAAGTTCATTGGGGGGGAGACCATTTCTCACGCACCACACTTGTGGCTCGACTCCTATCGCGCCGTGATCATCCCGTAATGCCACATGGCTCGTACAAAGACATGTCTTAAGCCCCTGAAGAGACACCCCTCTCCACAACATACCAGAAGCGAAGGGGGCAGGATGTTTCACAGTCCCCAGCCCAGTCCCTGGCTACGATACGCACAGCATGTTTTGACTTCTGAGAAGGTGCCCGAGTGGGACAGACCAAACTGGGCGCCACATACAACCCCTTCTCTCCACAGCCACCCCCAGAAAACCGAGAAAAGGTCAAAACATTGCCGCCATCAACCTTTCCGCCGGCGCCACATACACAGACAACGGACGTGCTCAGGTAAACAGTATCCCTTGCATCGGCGAGGCCGAACCAACCACCGGGCAGTCAACGATATCTGATGGATGGCGAGACTCGATCATCACTGCGGTTATCGAGCCAGTGAACGCTCATAAAGCGAGGTATAAACAAAACACACAAACTAAAAGGAAAACAAGAAACATAATCAAAAACAAAAACAAAAACCACAGTAATAACAACAGCAGGAGTAGCAATAGGAGTAGTCGTTAAACCCGGTCCAGACCGTAAGCGAGCGATCGGGCGTGTCAGAGCCCGACACTGATGGCTGCCCAGCGTGGAGATAGATGATCGAGCTAAGATTAGATCAAGAGAGAGACGGCGAGATGTGTGGCGACCATCTCGAGATATGCCAACACCCGGGGGAAGAAAGCAATGATAACAACCCAGGAGGACGGTACCCAAAATCCGGTTTTTGAGGGTAACCAACGATGATTTGTCACGATTTTTGCCACACATTTTGAAGAGCACCGCGACGATGACTTGTGCATGCTTTCTCTCGCCCCTTCCCTCTTTCCATCCTCCACCACCTCCCACGGTTTATAACCCACCTTCCGGCAGCTCCTTCCAACCGCCTCCCCAAAACCAACACCAGCCCCGGCCGGATGGCGTAGTGGGGAGGCTGTGGATGTTTGAACTAGTACACCACAGAATCTGTGCGCCCGGGTTCGAGCCCGGTTGTTGCACTTTGTAAAACCCGCTTGCGGGTTTTCGTAGCTGTCATACTATGCCTCGCCCCCTGTATAGGGGGGACCGTGAGAGGTAGGCGGTGAGCTTTTTGGCTGATTCTTTTCTTTTTCACCATAGTTATAGAACTGAGCGCGGCAGAATATTACCGGCAATGTTAGGTGGAAGTACAGACTTTTATGTGTAAACCCGATTACTCATTTATTGATCATGTCCATGTATGTACGGGGGTGGAAGGAAACTTGTGTAACATGAGGGACAAATGGCCTGGTGTTGAGGTAAATAGGGGTTTGTTTACTTCTCCGGTCGTAGCCACAGCAGCAGGAAAAGGAGGCCGGCCCGCAAGTGTCAGGGGTAATTTCTCCCGTTGTTTTTTCAACATCTTAGAAACAACCAGTTTTCATCGCCACAGTGATGAAACAACCCTTGAGCCGTGATTGTGAGAAACAAGTTACATTCAAATGACCCTTTTTCTACCCCCCAAACTCCAACCAAAGTCACCTAATTACATCCAAGATTACCCGCACACACAAGTTCCCGTCTGTCACATCGTCACAACCATCATCGCCCCATCACGAAACATCCACAAACCCCCTCTTCTTCCCCCCATTTCCCCCCTCCCCACCCTGCTTCTCCTCCTCCCAATTCTCATCCACATACTCCTTCACACTCCGATCCCTCAACTGCATCCCCACCACTCGCAACGCCGCCAAATTATACCCCATCTCATCCTTCTGCCGCCTCAGCGCCGCGCGCAAACTAGCCCGCAACCGCTCCAGCGCTGCCCGCATCGTGCGGCTCGCCACAATCTGCCGGTGGTGGGTGCGTAGCATGAAGAAAAGAATACGGCAGGTCAGCGGGATGTTCATCTCGCGCTGGGCGAAGAGGTGGAGGAAGGTGAAGAGGGGAGGGACGGAGGCGAAGGGGAGCACGAGGAGGGCGTCGTGCAGGGAGGCGGGTTTGATTTTTTGGAGCGTGTTGAGCACGTAGGTTTCGGCGGAGATGTTGCCGAGGGCGATGAAGATGGGGTTGCGTTGGGGCGGGGCTGTTGAACCTGTGATTTGCTTGGCGGCTTCCCATTCGCGGATGGTGTTGAGGTCGGCGGTGGCGAGGTCGAGGGCTTCGGCGATGCGCTCGCCGGCCATGAGGGTTTCGACGGTTTGTTTGGAAGCGGCGGCGACTTCGCGGTCGGCGTCTTGGGAGTCGGGGTCTTGTTCGAGGGAGGTGGTGAGGGTGGATTCGTACAGCTCTTCGAGTTCTTTTTCGCGCTCTTCTTCGAGGAAGATTTGCTCGTCGGTTTCTTCCCAAATGCGGATGCTCTTGTCGTGGGAGGCCGAGAGGAGGGTGGTGCCGCTGTGGCTGATGGCCAAGGCCCAGATCTCGCCGTGGTGGCCGTCGATGCGCTGGATCTGCTCGAACTTGTCGGCGTCCCAGTATTTGATCGTGCGGTCCTTGCTGGCGCTGAAGAAGTGGTGGCCGTTGCCGTCTGAGTTGTGGGGGATGAAGGCAACTTGCAGGATGCTGTCTTGGTGGCCGAAGAGGGCCTTGTGGCAATCGCCAAAGTCGAGACCCCAGATGCGGATGTTCTTGTCTGCCGAGCTCGTTACGATGAGCTTGCTGTCGTAGGAGATGTCCATGCTGAGCACGGGCAGTTTGTGGCCGTAGAGATTGAGGTAAAGCTTCAAACTATCGACAAAGAAGACCTTGACGGTACTGTCGAGAAGCGCCACAGCTAGTAGTTTGGCATCAGGGGATAATCTCAAACTCAAAATATCATCCGACACCTTGAGTATCCTCGACTGCACCAGCTTCAGTTTTGGTGTTGTCCGCGTGGTGCCCAGGACCTGCTCTTGGACAATCTTGAAGTCCCAGAACTTGGCCGTCTTGTCCGCGCCACCCGACACGACCGACTTGCCGTCTGGGTGAACCTGTAGCGACCAGACGGCGTGGCCCTCGTGTGCGTTGACTGTCTCGAGGAGCGCAGCCGAGGCAACATCGTACAGCTGGAGATCGCCCTCCTTGGTTCCGACCACCACCACTTTGTCCCCAGGCAAGAATGCGCAGCAGAGGGCATAACCGCAGTCGAACGTCCGGATGCATGTTTGTGTTTTGATGTTCCAGATTTTGAGAGATCCGTTAGCCGCGGAAGCCAGCATCTTGTCGTCGGAGCTGATGGACAATGAGCGGATGTCTGTCCGGTGCCCCGGGAGCTCAATGCCCAAGGCTTTGTTGTAGTCTGGAACGTCGCCCTTCGATTTCAGCTTGTCCTTCCCGAGTACCGAGTACAACTCTAGCAGATTGTTTGTTGACCCGACCAGCAGCTGCAACTCTTTGTTCCCTGGGTTAGTAGCCCAATCAACGGACCGAACCTTGCCCGTTGTCCTGAGGATAACGTGCTGAACAATGACGTCGGAAATGTCGGCTTCTGTGATATCGTCCGGCTTGTCCTCGGCATCGTCCATCTCCTGGTCTGCAGCCCCCTTCTTATCCTTGGCCTGTTTCTCTCTCCTCCTCTTCTTTTTCCTGGCCAAACTCTTTTTAATCTCCGCCTCGTTCCGTATCCGCCAGACCTCTACCGATTTCTCTACCCCATGTACCGCAAAGTAGTCTCGCCTTGGGTGGAAAATCACCTCGACAGCTCGCTCCTTGCTGTTCCTGTGTAATGTCCCCCGGTCGCGGAGGAAGTTGATGGATTGTGTCAAGTCGACCGCCTGCGCAGACGAGGCGAGAGCGGCTACATCAAGCGCCCAAACAGTCATTTCCCCGTCGTTCCCAGCCGTGACGCACCCGCTAAAGTCAGGGGTCACGCCCAGAGCCCAACACTCGCCATTCGTCTGCGCAACGTGCGTCTCGATACAGTGGCGCGATCCAAGGTCCCAAAGCTTGATCAACGCGTCCTTTCCCGTCGTCAAGAGGAACCCCTCAGCCGCTTCGGTATCGACGGCCATCAGAGCCTGCTCATCCTCCTCACCCTCACCTTCCAGTATCGGATCTGGCTCGACGAAATGCAAGCCCGTAATCTGATCCTTGTGTCCACGCAGCTTGTACTGTCCCACCTCGGCAACAAGATCCCAAACGATAACATCGGTATCCTTGGCGCCACTGGCAAGGCGCACGCCGGTCTTGTCGAAGGCTAGGGTCGTGATGGCCGACTTGTGCCCATTGAAGCTCACCACCGAAGTGGCAATCTTGCTGTCCCAGATACGTATGCTGCCATCTTCGTAACCGACGGCAAACAGGTCAGGGTCGTTCCGGCTCTGGGCGATCGCTGTCACCTTCGCCCGGCAATTCTCATCGCGCCAATGCCCTAGCAGCTCGCCCTTCTTGATGTCCCAGACTAGAACCTCCTCATTCGAGCCGACGATAGCTTGCCCTGCGCCGGTGCCGGCCTTGCCTCTGGGGGACCAGACGAGATTCGAATTGCTGGATGCGACGACGCCGAAGGATTTGGAGGGCTCGAATTTGCTAAAGATCGAGAGTGCGGTTAGGAGATGCGGAAAGGAAAGGAAAGAAATTTGACGGGGAAATCAAAACAAAATGACTTACAGGTATGACTTGACCATCTTTGCGACCGGGCGCTATCCGCGTACAGCCCACCTCAAAACGGGATTCGTCTTGTCCGTCTCTCGGTCTCAATGGGTCGTGGCGTCGCGAGTGTGGTGGGCTATTCGCGGCCTCGACTTTTTTTGGCGGCGATAAGATAAAAAAGATTCAGGGCCCTGGTCGCTGCCGCCAAGACAAGGGAAGACACTGGCGAAGCACGAGCCACATCTCCCCCCTGCGCTGTGGCTGCCAACTTGGAATGCGGGGCAATCTCCCCAGCTCAAGGTGCCAAGAATGCTGGCGGTGCTTCAACTGCTTGGCTTCCCACGCCGCCACAACGTCAGCTCCCCCAGTTGCAGCCCCACCACAAGTAGCTGCGCCAACCTCGACCACGACCACACGACAGCCACACGACAACTCCAGGAACTCGATCGCCACCAGGTGTTTTCAGGGCAACCCATTGAACTAGGCGGCAGTCCACCATGCTGCTGCTCGACTACCAGAATGTGCTGATACAGTCGGTGCTCACGGAGCGCTTTTCTGGGTGAGTAGTGTGCCTTGTAACTAACCCCTTGCGAGGACAACGACAACAACGACGAGGAACGAGGATGATAGGGATTCTAAGAGTGATGATGGCTAACAACCATGCCACCCTTTCTCAGAGCCGCACCCGTGTCCATCGACCAAACCGTCTCCGATTTCGATGGCGTCACCTTCCACATCTCGACTCCCGAAGTCAAGACCAAGATCCAGGTCTCGATCCAGATCCGTTGCTTCCCAGATCTCCTGCGATACGGTGCCGAGGAGGTGCTCAACCGCGAGTATGGGTCTTACGTGGTGCCCCCAGAGCCGGGCTACGATTTCTCGATAGTAGTCGACTTGGAGAGCCTACCCGCCGAGCAAGGTTCGTAACATACCCAATCTATCCCGCAGCCCACACCGCGTCCACACTCCATATTCGACCCCAAGCTGACACAAGTTCCAACACCATACAGAAGCGCGCGACGAGCTGATCAAGAAGGTCTCGCTCCTCAAGCGCAACGCCATGGCAGCCCCGTTCGAGCAAGCCTACCAGGAGCACTACGCGCTCAAGCAAGAAGCGGCCAAGTTCACGTCGGAGGAAGCGCCACAGGGCGTGCGCGAGGGCGGCGAGGTCAAGGCGATCCACTACCGCGAAGAGGAGGCCATCTACGTCAAGGCCAGCCACGACCGTGTGACTGTCATCTTCAGCACCATCTTCCGCGAGGAGACGGACCGCGTGTTCGGCAAGGTCTTTATTCAGGAGTTTGTCGACGCCCGCCGGCGGGCTATCCAGAACGCGCCCCAGGTGCTGTTCCGCAATGACCCGCCGCTGGAGCTGCAGGGTGTGCCAGGGGTTAAGGATACGGGGGCGGGGGAGATTGGTTATGTTACGTTTGGTATGAGATGTCTTGCTGGAGAGGAACCTGTTTGGCTAGGTGCTGACTTTTGCAGTGCTCTTCCCCCGTCACCTCACTCCGCAGCGGATGCCGGATGTCATTTCGCACATCCAGACCTTCCGCGACTACTTCCACTATCACATCAAGGCGTCCAAGGTATGGTTTTCTCGGGGCATTACAACCCGCAGCATGCTGACTTGTGTAGGCCTATATCCACTCCCGTATGAGACGGCGGACAGCAGACTTCCTCCAGGGTAAGGGCCCTCCTTCGCGCCATGAGCTTTCTCAGCTAATTGTTTTCCAGTTCTCCGCAGAGCCAGGCCAGACAGCGAAGAGAAGGAGCGCAAGACGGCGAGCGGGAGGACCTTCAAGGTGGGGAGCTAAGCGATTGGGTGCGTATAGAAGGACACAGCAGCCGACGAAAATACACATCATTATACTTCTCCAGGAGAATCATCTCACGGTGCCAAGCATACTGTTACTCCGCTATGTAATGCATGTCAAATCACTTACATCACAGGTCCGTCTCTCTCTCCCAAACATCTCAGACTCGTCCCACTCGCAGTACTCGACCTGATGACGTGTTTTGATGAACCTTGTCGCCCCAAATCTCTCAGCTACGTCCTGGACGTACTGCTGGATCTCGCTTCCAGGAGCATAGAGGTTGCTCCAGTTAGGATTGGGAGCGAACGAGTATTGGTATGAGTGTGCTAAAATGACTCGTTAATTTGGACCTCGTCATACTTACAGAGTTGGGGCACTCACATGGGATATCACAAGCGACCCCTAGTTAAGAGTTGCCAAGTGAGCATCGAAAACGTATCATTCAAGCCTAGGAATTCTTCCTCCGTAACTGACCCGGATACCTGTTCGACCACCTACAACCTCCAAGTCAGCATCTACCCACCAACCAAGAACCAAACGAAAGTCCATACCACACCCCGCCAACCCCCTCGTTCTTGTCATACACCACCAGTTCCACATTCCTCAGCCGCTCTGGTATCCCGATGGCCGCCAGAATCCCCGAAAACCCAGTGCCCACCACAATAACTCGGAACGGCCGCAGGTTCTCAACAGGCGCGTCTTTGATGGTAAATTTCCCTTGGTGTTTGGTACTGTAGTCGCCCATGTTTACTGTAGCAAAGAGTCTATTTTCTCATGTAAAAGTCGTCGGAGTCGCAAGCTGATATCTCGCCGTATTGCACCCACGCAAGGAGCATATGGACAGCCAGAAGTGAACAATACGACAAGAAACCCAAGAGGGAACGAGGACCCCAGCACGACAAACATTCTTATAAGCAAAGACAGTCCGTATATATGTACCACCCTCCCGACCTCCACAACACAAACAAATAACCCACCCGCCGTTATCCGCGACGACCCACCCTGACATTCCTCGCTCTCACAGCTCAACCAGTCCCAACCTTCCTTACACTACATAAGGTAGGTAGTAGACATGGTCAACCCCCCAATATTTAAATCACATTTCCTTGACATACCCCTCCCAAAAGCCCTCAGCAGCCCAGATCCACACACAACTTCTCACATAATTACCAGCTCAAGACCGACAACAAGATAACAACGACACACGGGATCACAACCCGCCATTATCGTTACCCCTCTGGCAGGTTGCGACACCTACATTCCAGCTGAATACTTTACCCGTTCAGTAGATTGGTCCCTCGTTCACACTCGGACACCGCAGACCAAGAGAAGAGCGGTTTGCCCGGTGAGGTGGGGTGTGACACGGTTCCAGATTGCCGCTACCTTTCCAAATCCAGATTCAGGTCTGGAATCTCTGGAATCTGAGATACGTTTCACACCAAGTCGGGCTTATTATTGAGAAAAGAACGTGTGATATAGGCTATATGTATACGACCAAATAAAGCTAAACGGCCCCCAAGATAGGTATTTAGTGGCACACACAGACGAAGCAACCCACACTCGCATGGGTCGGTGTGATGAGGTCTGTTGCTCAAGGAGGTAGGTCACTAGCTGCTGGATACACATTCCACTAGAGAGGTGGATATTCCGGGTAGGATTCCTGAGCACATTCAATCGATCAAACCCTCCAAAGAGGCTGTGTGAACTATTATTCATCTACAGGGAATAATTTTGTATGGACAAACAGGACTTGTTCAACATTATGACATCCAACCCGTAAGGCCGATGTCTTCCCACCATCATCACCCCCAACTATGGCTACACTAACACTCGTTTTTTCCTTTTTTTTTCTAAATTTCTTATCCTTTCCCCCCCATCTTCTGTTTCTTTTTTTTTTCCTCCTCCTCTTTCCAGGGAATCCGGACGCAAAATGGGTATCAGGCAAAAGGAGACGCACGCGCCGGGCAATGCAACGAGAGAAAAAGAAGGGATGATCAAGGTAGCAGGAGCAAAAAGCAAAGCATCATCATAGCTCGATGAAGTCCTTTTGCTCCACGAAATCAAGACCCCCGTTCTCGTCGTGGCCGATGAACTCGTCCACCTCGTCCGAGTCGACGTCGTCCTCGTCAATTGACTCGCCATCGTCGTCGCTGGAGAGATCTTCCATCTCCTCATCATGCTGTGCCAAGCCGGCGCTCTTGCGGAGGACGCTTGCCCTCTCCCGATGCGCCAGCTTACACCCCTTGATCTTACACACTCCCGTGTTGCTGAAGTTGGGGCATTCGAATACGTGCCGATCTGGGCATTCGGCACCTTTCTGGCAGTAGCCGTAGAAGCCGAAATCCCGGCACACCGGAGCAGCTGGTGACACTTTTACGTGAGCATACTTGCAGTCAGGCTTGGTGCAGCTATCGCGGGCAAAGTGCAGGCACGCTGGTGTTCGCTCGGGGGTGGGGTCATGCGAGAGATCGCAGTTGGCGCCGCTGGGACATTCACCCTGTTGCAGGAAATCCTTGCAAATGGCGACCCTGTGCGCGTCGTGGGCGTAGCGGCACCGAGGGACTGCACAGGAACCTGTTGCGCGGTTAGTAAATCTTCGTTGGCCGACCACGGCCCGACCGGAGATGAATCGTTCGGGATGTCGGTTGGGGAAAATGGAGTTACCCGTCATAGAAAACTGTTTGCAAGGCACGTCGAGCTTCTTGACCGTGCCGGATTGCCTGCCAAAAATTCCTGGGGTTAGTGGCCCGGCTACGGAGTCCCAGGAGACATACCGCTGCGCCTTCACAACGCCGTGGCGGTAGAGGTTGCCGTTCTTGCTGCGGTGAAACTTGACGCCCCCAATAAGTGCCGATTTAGGAGTCGCCTTTGCCGAGTTGCCATCACCTGTATGGAGATTAGTATGATGGTGATCGTCGCGTACACCCGGTCGCGACGCACCGGGTACTTTGATAAGCTTGCTGCCGTTTTTGGCGACAGTGAACCGAACACCTTGGACAGCGATTTCGTACTTGTCGGTTGCGACCTGCTGGTTAGCTGCGCCAAATGCCCCGCTATTTACCATATGATGCAGGTGGTTGACTAGCTTGGCCCGCTCCCGTTTGTCCCTCAAAGCAATCTTTTGGCGCCGCGTCTGCTCGATTGCGGCCGTCCGCGCCTCCGCGTTCTTCTTGTATACATTTGTGTTGATCAGCTGCCTGTGACGGTCGGTCTTGGTCACCCACGACGAGTTGGAGGAGTCTGAAGGGCTGCCAGTCTCGCCATCAGCAGACTGGGCCTGTTGAGCGCCGCCATTGAGCACGAGCGTCCTGTTCCGGTAAACAGGCATTCGAGCGGCGGGGTGGCTGCCGCGATGAGAGAACCCGCCGCGGCGCCATGCGCTCGAGTATCCGGAATCTTGAAATCCATTAGCCCTACTGTGGCCGGCGGTCGGTCGGTCGATGAACACACGATGGTGATGCGACGAGGCGTGTCGAACAGGGCCGACACCGGCTTGCTGATTTCGGTGTCGATTAATTTGACCGGCCAAACGGCCGATCCTCTCCATCATCTCCCGATCCTCCGCAGACGACATTTTGATATCCAGAAGTTGTTGCGCTATAAGTCCTGCGGGTGTTGCAAATATGAAGAACGGCGGAGAATGTGGTTGCAGAGGAAGAGCCAGCGATGTTATATGCGAGGGAAATGACGATTGGTGTTGTGGCGGGATTTGAAAGGAAGTGGCGACCCAAGGAAACCGCACGTGCCAAGCCCCGCGATTGCCGTTTCTGGTCGGCGCGCTAAACCAAGCCAGTCGGTTGACCTTCGATTGCACTTCTCGCCCTGCAACAGTGTGATCAGAGTGAGCAAATCGATTGTTGACGCTTTGATTCAAACTCCGAGGCAAACGGCAACGAAGCTCTTTTGTCATCTTTAGGGAGAACTGACACAACCCAGACGTCTTGTGAGTTGTGGACTGCAGTTCGCGGTTACCAGGAGACCTACCTGCAAGCGGCAAAATTATGCCAAGACTAAGCCTGCCAAGAGTGCTGGTGCCCCAGTTTATTTCGCTGGGCCTCCTCGCTGACCTCATGCGGGAAGGCTGCAACACTTGCATCACAAAATCCATCCATTTCTTCTTTGTGCGCCATCCATCGCTCCATCCGCTCCCCGAATTCTCCCTCGAAGGCCAAGACTGAATCCCCGATCTATCCTCATCCACCCAGCCTCCAGAGCGCCAAAAATCATCGCGAGCCATGTCGGAGCCAATAATTAAGCCGGAGCCTGACACCGGCGCCTCATTCGTCGACGAGGTCGATGAAACTCCCGATCTCGAGTTCTTCGACAAGCTTCCTGATGCCGACGCCTATAATCGCATGTATCTTACGAGGTTACCGAATTACGTCTGGGAAGCGTGGTCGAAGCTTGACGACGACGACGAGATTGAGATTGGCACGGTCCGCCAATGGACCGATGAGACCGGGAAGATAGTTGGTTTTCCTGTTGGAAGTTTGCCGTTGTTCCACCACGGCTAACGTGCGCCGCTACGTTTCTAGAGACTTCAAATGCGCCTCAGACCGGAGATCGATGCCCACAAGGAACTACCCAAGGAATACGACATGGACGTGACGAATCACGAGGTCAACAACACATTCGTCTTCAGTGAGCAAGACCTACCAAGTTACGCGGCGAAAAATAAAGAGAGGGCCAACGCGCTCGCCCAGGGGATTCCCGCCCACCTGTTGCGGAAACAACAAAAGCAGATGGAGGCACCAGCTGAGCGAGGGAAAAAGAGCGCGCCGTACTCGCGCCGCCCGATTCCAAGTCTGTTCCCCCTTCCCACGGTCTGATGCCATCGGGCCAAACTGTGCTGACTCCCAACAAAGAAAAAACCAAGGTGGCGGGTCGCATTAAGCACGAGGTCGTCTGCACCCCTGTCCGGAATGCAGAGGCCGACAGATTCTTGTCCATTCGCGCCGAGCGCGCGGCGCAGCCCCAGAAGAAGGTGACGATGCTCACCGGGTTCCCGACCGGCGATACCACGAACCCCATTGAGTGGGATGATTTCCTCGTGCGTGACCCCTTTTCATTATCTTCTCTGGCTTCCGCAAGCCCTCCTGACACGCTTGGTAGAAAACACGTGAGAAGCCGACCAAGGCGAAGAAGATGGAGAACAAGGCGACCCGCTGGCCAGAAAATAAGCTTCTCGATGCCATCACCAAGTGTTTCTCCGAGCACAAGTACTGGTCTATTAAGGCGTTCCGGGGCAAGATCCCACAGCCGGAGGCATACTTGCGTGAGACACTCGAGAAGATCGCCCTGCTCCACCGATCCGGCACGTTTGCCAACCACTGGTCGCTCAAGCCCGAGTACCAAGACATGATGGCCACGCTGCCCAAGCCCGCTGATGACGCGGCGGTCCCGAAAGCCGATGTGCCGTCTGAGGACGAGGACGAGGAAGACATCAAGATGGAGGATGTTTTGTAGATTGTCTCGGGCATCCTCATTGTCCGGGAAGGACCGAGCGTAATGGCATCGGTGAGCTCTTTCTCAGAGTGAGCTTTTCCTTGGAGTGGCGTTACCGGTGGTACCGGAAGATACGTGGGTTTGCATTTCACGGGGAACTTCAGGGCTAGATGATACCATTGATTAGAAAACGAAGCGGAAAATGTGGGATTGTGTACCGTATGTTTCCTGTGATCGCCAACTCTCAGCCTCTTCCAGCCCGGCAGCCCGGGTCCTGTGACATTACGGTGACCAACCTTTACAAGTTTCAGCAATTGTGGAGTCGTCCAAATCAAGTAAACGTGCAGCAACCACTTCCAAGGTCAACTAACATGAGCCCCTTCCAGTGTCTCTTCCGTTTCCGCAACTCGTCTTCAACAAGGTTAAATTACATCCACTTCTCCCATTTCCAAGGCATACAAACCAAACCCCTCCCAGTTTCAACCCCCAACAACCATAAGATCCACAACCCCTCCCCAACCTCCAAAATGACGCACCGCCTTCTCCTCCTCGACTTCGACGGCACCATCACCAGCCACGACACCCTCTCCTCCCTCATCACCCTCGCCATCGAAACCACCTCCACCGACGCCCCCAACTCCCCCAATAAAACAACAAGAACAACAACCCTCAAAACCAACTGGCACTCCATCGTGACCTCATACCTCGCCTCCCACAAAGCGCACGTCGCATCCTACCGGCCGCGCGCAGAAGACCGTACCACGCTGGCCGAGGAACTTGCATTTCTGGAGAGCGCGGGGGATGTAGAACGGGCGTCAGTTGAGAGGGTGGGGAGGGCGGGGTTTTTTGGGGGCGGATTTGATTGTTCCCGGGAAGGGGAAACCCCGGAGGGAGGGGGGGAGCAAGAGGGAGAGGGTCAAGAGGGGGGAGAGGGGAAAAGGGGGTTGGTGGGGCTTGGACGGGTGGCTTTTGAGAGGGGGGTTGGTGGTGGTGATGGTGATGAACCCAGGGAGCGAGAGGATGGGGCGGTCAGACTGCGAAAAGGGTTTGGGAAGTTTCTAGAGCGGCAGGCGAAAGACGGGTGGGATCTGGCTGTTGTCAGTGTCAACTGGTCTGGGGAGTTTATCCGGGGGGTTGTGGAAGCGGCTTGTGAAGCGGGAGGTGGAGAAGGTGAGAAAAAGGTGAGAAGGATTATGGCGAACAGAGTCACACTTCCGGAGGGGACGGTTCAGGGGCCGGAAGAGCTTGGTGGGGAACCGCTTACTACGGCTGGGGATAAACTGAGGGCTATGGAGTCGTTGAGGGGGGGGTTGGGGGAGGAGAAGGTGGTGGTGTATTTTGGGGATTCGACGACTGATTTGGCGTGTTTGGTGGAGGCGGATTTGGGGGTGGTTATGGCTGATGATGGGGGGAGTAAGTTGTTGAAGACGTTGGAGAGGGTGGGGTATGAGGTGCCGCATGTGATGGACGCTGGGGGGGAGAGTGGGCTTGTTTGGGCGAGGGACTTTGAGGAGGTTCTTGAAAGTAGTGTGTTACAAAGGATATGAAGTTTGGTCGGGTGTAAGTCACTTGGCGGGTGGTATCACTCCAGGTGTTTCAATACAGTATCGTATTAGCCATATTCCCTTTCTCGTGTTGACCAAACATACTACGAGGCCCTGATTAACAGCAGACAAGGCTTGACAAACTACCCTGCCACAGAAACCCTAAAGTTCGGGACAAAGCGGTATACTATGGGAAACGACTACCAAGTTCTTCGCAAACAAAGGAACAACAATTCCAGCTTCTTGGTCCACACAGGGCACAATGATTGTGGATTGTCAAACATACGCCGGCGAAACCCCAAATTCTCCTAATTTAACCCAATGTCCGACCCCATCCTCGCATGATCAAGACTTACCTTATGACACCCAACACAACCCCCAACTACTCAACAACCACCATGTGTTTCCACCGCCGCCTCGTCTTCACCTGTTCCCACCACGCCTGGCTCAACCTAACCAAAGCCTGCGACACAGAAGCGTCCTTCGAGCGCGGCAACACCGACACAGGCTGCAGCATCCGATGGTCACACGGCTACGATACGATACGAGTCCAAGACAAATGTGCCAAGTGTGCCGGCACGCAGCAAGGCGACTCCTACCGGTTTGGCGTCGTCAAGGACCAAATCCAGGCGCTCAAGGAGCATTTGAAGTTGATAAAGGGGGACCGGCAGATTAAGGAGGAGGCGTGGCTTAGTGGGGAGGTTGAGCCGGGACGGTCGGGGGAGGAGGATGGTGGGGAGGGTGATCGTGATGAGAAGGGGCAAGATGCTGGCGGTTCCCTTTCTTCTTTTTCTTTTTCTCCTGGTGGGACGGGGAGGCTTAGTGGGGGTACGATGGTTGGTGAGGAAGAGTATTTAATTAAGATCAACTCTGAACAACAACAGTAAAAAGGAGAAAAAATGACGATGCCCTAAATATTGAAAAAGAATCAAGACCAAAAAGCTCACCACAGAACCCTATCCCCATCCGGAGGGATAACGGTCTGTGGTTACGAAAAGCCCGCCGGGGGGGCTTTTTCTTCGCTGGCCCCGGGAATCGAACCCGGGGCCACTTCGATTTACGGCGGAGTGGCGTGGTGCTCCTCCCAACGCCGCTACGCCAAACACGCTGTTTGGCGAATTAGGAGGAACTGGTGACAGTGTGAGCGAGCCGGGGACTTATATGGTGTGGTCGGGAAGGAAGGCGCCGTAAGTTCGATTCCGACTCTGGCGGGTTCTTCCTTGTGGTCAGGTCGGTCATGCATCGGGTAATATATGATTTTAAATAGCAAGCTAACATGGTTTTACATCGGGATAGAGACAAACAGTTGGGATTATAAACAGCATACGAGGTGTCTACACTTCCTGACATATCCGGGTTGTTGTGGTTTACCAAACCTAAGTCCCAGGCAATGCCACTCCCCGAACACCGAGATCAATCTGCTTGCTTATCAGCTAATGCAAAGAAAAATTTCCTGCTCTGACCACTCAATCAAACCAAAAAAACAACCTCCTGTCAAAGCGGAGTGTAAATCGCCCTGTTCAACAACCCCTCTGCACGAGTCGTTCGTCTTCCGGGTCGGGAATTTGGGCATTAACAAACTCATATCAAATAATAGAATGTATCTCTCCGGCTTCCCTATTGACAGCGACAACGCTTCCTTATCCCCCTCGAGAACTGCTAGCTGCACAAGAGAGATGTTGTTGAGGAATCCGTTTTTGGAAACTGCCCCACCTGACTTACAACTGGGAGTACGCCCGGCTGTTGGCAGCTGTCAACCAATCTTCAGTAACCAGGAAGCCCATGCGTGGATCGGCTGACGGGCAGTCTTTGAGCGCCGATGCACGGCCTTCAACATCCCACAGATGCATTTGCCGGCTGCAACCGTCACCCGAAACACCCAAGAATCCCAGACCGCCACGCAGAGAGGGACGGTCAAAGCATCATGCCATGGGGTTTCTTTCGCAGCAAAGATGAAGACGGAGCCCTCAGATCCGATCACAAAACCAGCTGGCTGCCAATGACCAAAGATGACGACGGCGGCCGGGGGAAGGGCTGGTTCTCGGCCAAAAACGGCAATGGCACCGGCCACGGCGACTCCTGGACCGACGCCGCTCAGAATTATCTAGACGTCCCGGGCAATTGGATTGCGCCCGTCGCCGCCGCCGTTCTCACCCTCGGCGCCTATTCCTTCTACCAATCCTACCTGCGCCGCTTTCCCACCCCGCACCACATCGCCCCGGGCGTCTTCCGAAATCGCAGCCTATTCGGCAAGGTCACGAGCGTTGGCGATGGCGATGGCTTCCACCTCTACCACACTCCGGGCGGCCGTCTCGCCGGCTGGGGCTGGTTGCGCCGTGTGCCCACAGATCGGAAGCAACTCAAGGGCCAGACGGTAAGTTCAAGATCTAAAATCCAACCCCGCAAACCACCCAAAAAAATCCACCCCACCAACCCCGCCCTCCGTTCACCTTCCTCAAAAACCTCATCTAACAAAACGTTCGCTCAGATCTCCATCCGCCTCGCCGGCGTAGACGCCCCCGAAGCAGCCCACTTCGGCCGCCCCGCCCAGCCCTTCTCCGCCGAAGCGCTCTCCTTCCTCGAGAACTACGTCCTCCACCGACGCGTGCGCGCCTACGTCTACAAGCGCGACCAATACGAGCGCGTAGTGGCCACCGTCTACCTCCGCCGCGCACCCTTTTTCTTCCCGCGCCGTGACGTCGGGCTCGAACTCCTCCGGCACGGCCTCGCTGTTGCGTACGAGGGCAAGACGGGCGCGGAGTTTGGCGGGGATAAGATGGAGGCTGTGTATCGTGAGGCGGAGGAGACGGCGAAGAGGAAGAGGGTGGGCATGTGGGGGTCGGCGGCGGGGAGAGGGGTCGGGAAGAAGTTGTTGGCGAAGGCGGTTGGGGGGTCGGCGTCGGCTGCGGCCGTGGGGAAGTCGGAGACGCCGATGGAGTATAAGCGGCGGATGAAGGCGCTTGAGGGTGGGGAGTAGTTGGAGGTGGGGGGAGGGGGGTTGATGTCTTATGATACCCATGATAATGTGGTTAGGATTTTCTCGGGAGGTGGAGATGATGATATGGATGGATGCATACACTTTGCGAGCGACTAAGCTGAGCAAGTATCATGACATAGAAGCCAGTCTGCAAATCAAGAGCATTTGTTTATTTAATTCTTTAGGACCTGCTGAAACATACAATGGGTATGTAACCTTGAGTCTTTTTACGTCTACAACCTAGGCATCCGTTGCTCTTTAAGGGAATTCCAACTCGAAGTGCGAGATGATTAAGACGAAAGAGGATCCCCATATGGAGTTTCGGGATCCGGCTCGCCGGTCATGCTTGGGCTTGCTTGGCTCCATGTTTCGTATGACGTGCAGGGCTAGCGAGCTTTCCGGGTTATCACCACTTGTTTATGGCAGCCAACGTATGATCTCCAGAGATTCAGTTATAATTCATGAGTTATTGGAACCGGGCACGTGCGCGGATAGAGATGTCGTTGTTTGAATTACAACCTCTTTCCGGAGCTGTGCTCTGTTTGGTCACATGTGATATGAAGCTCGATCTGGCCAAGTGCCAAGCTGGATGCTCTTGAATTTGCTGTGAATTACAGTTTTGATGTTCTTTGACTTGAACATCAACGACAATGCGGGTGCGGGGTGGTGTTGATAAGATACGTGTAGAGAAGAGGAAGGAAGAGCTTGTCGTTGAAAGCCTGAGGAATCCTGTGATCATTTTGATGGTATGTACAAAGCAAGAAGATATCACGAGTTTGATGTCAACCCTGACGCTTGTTCGCCTTCACCGCTTCTCATCTCGTGTTGAAGTCCTGCATTCGAGCCGCCGGGTTAACCGATGGTGGAGCGACGACCACGTTGTCCGCCAATGCAAGCTGCAAGGGGTTTGCCCAAGATCGCCCCTGTCCAGATGCGTGCCGCCCAATGGCGTCGCATCGTCGGATCCTGAGATGCAGGAACGGCCCCTGAATTCAACTGTTGACGGGCCAGGCCCAGATGTCAAAGCTCACTCTCGTGCGCATGTTTTTGAGGGGATTTGGTGGTTTCTTCTCTTCTGTTATTCTTTCCCATTTTCAGGCGCTGTGACAAGAAACAACATTGGGTGTTTGGGTGACCGCAAAGGACGGTATCAACGACGCTCATTTTCCCATACCGAGTTTCCCCAACTCTGGTTTCACTAATTTATTTCCTGATACCTCTCAAACCCGGGTTTGGAAGCCCACCGTCCCATACACTCTCTTTTAGTGGTTTGTGTTTTGGTGGTAGAGCCGCCCGACACACTCCAATCGAACTTGACAGCGAAACGGTGTGTGCCCCTGATTCCCTCTCCCCAGACCGGAGGCTACTACGACAGAATCTCTGATAGAAAATCACCAGACTCCAGCCCTCCATTAACCAACTCATTGCACCGCTCAACCGCTCTGCACTACCTGTTGGTACCCGTTCCGAAAGCGACACACTCATTTTTTGCCCTTTGTTAGATCACCAGGACGTTCATTCGACCAGCCACTGAGCATCGCAATTATATCATTCGACCGCGGCAAACAGAACGCCAGCCACCGAATCGCAGGCCGGTATCTCCTTGTGTCTCCCGTTGTGTAACGCGGGACGCGGGGAACTGCAGTTGTCAAGATCCAGAGAAAGGGAGGTCGGGGTCAACCCGGATTGGATGAGTTTGGGTTTCGCAACAAAACCTGACGGGAGCGTTGAACGGTATTCGTACCCCACCAAGATCCAGTCTTTGATCCGAATTCTCCAGTTGTGGATTGCGTTCGCCCAAGGAAACATTTCATTATTCGCCTGCGAACTGGGGGTAGGTGCACGGCTTCGTCCGATTTCCCGTTTTATTTTCAACCGGGAACCGTCATTATTACGCTGCGCGAACAATATCGAGCCGCTCCCGGGCATTGTCGCCGGCCAGGTTTCCCGTTTGCATTGACGTTGAGACAATAATTGTTTTCTGGGGTTGCTAGTTGCGCATGGCGTGTTTCGTTGCTTGAATTTCGGGAAACAAGGAGAGAGAAGAAGAGGCAGGTCATTGACGTTGTGTCTCACAGTTTGCCAGGTACGAGCCCATCCGTTGCATTCGCATTTTTCTGGAATCGTGCCTAGCCCGTTGTGGAAAGGCGCCGTCCAGCCCGGCCACTCAGGAGCCAGCATCGCAAGCTTGCCAGACCCAGAGGGACTCCGCCCAATCTCGGAGAGCACTGAGCAAGTTCGGAGGAGCCACTCCTGGCCGCGAAAACAGGCGACGAAGGCCCAACTTGCGAACCTCGAGTCTGGAGATTCAACCAAACAATTCTCGACACCTCAACCCATCCGCTCGCTTTTCCCACGCCCCGTGGCCGGCCTCGTCACCGCCCGCCGCGCACCCCCTCCATTTTCGCGCAAAGGACGCAGAAAAACAAAATTAATCGAAGAACACCATCCACCACGCTCGTTTAATCGAACCCGACCACACGACCGCAACCGACCGATTTTGTGGATATTCACAGCTCACTATTCACAACCGACATAACTACTTTCGCGTTTCGGCCGAGCGTTTTGTACGACCGGCTTCATTTCCGGCCACACGAATTGCCCCAGCCACGCCCGAGAAAAGAGAGCAAATATTTTCGATAACATCTCGAGAGCTACTTTGCTATGGACTGCCGGTGCTGACAGGCTAAGAACCGACCGGATTTAATTTGAGCACCCCGTTTGCTCGTCGGTCCACGCGCGGCAGCTCTTCAAGTTCAGATTCTCGACCAAAGAGACGCGCAACAACGCAATGCGGTTACCTTTCGGGCGGCGGCACGCCGCTCGCAGCGATTCCTTTTCTTCACGCCTCTCACTCTTTTCTCTCTGCGCGTTAGCAGCATCACCAGCAGCCGCCATCTCCTTTACCCCCGTACCCTCGCCGAATCTCGACCTCTCCCAGCTCGGCCGTGTCGTCCTAGCAGGCGACTTCTCAGGGATATCCCTCTACCAGTTTGAAGAGCAGAACGTCCACGCGACGCGGAACAACAATGGCAGCGAGCAGCTCCTTGCGCGGATGCCTAACGCCCTCTTCGCCCCCATCGCGAACACCGACGCGACAATACGTACCATGTGTACACTCGACACGGACAACGGGACCGTGGTTATCCTAGGCGGAAATTTCACTAGTATCAGAGGCCCCGACGAGGACGCGAAAGCGTTACAATCGAATGCCATCGCTCTCTTCAACCCCGACACAGCTGCGGTGACGCCCCTCCCGGGCCTATCAGGACAGGTTAACTCCCTGTTGTGCGACCAGGATAAAAAGAGGGTGTATCTTGGGGGCAGTTTTGTGGGTGCTAACTCAACCAACGCGCTGGCATGGGAGGCGGGCAAGAACTGGGTCAATCTGCCCTTTGCAGGGTTTAATGGACCTGTGACGTCTATCGCGAAGGCGTCCAACGGGAACATCATTTTCGGAGGCAGCTTTACCGGCCTGGGGAACGCGAGCACTCCGAGCACGCCCGACGGTCAAATCATTAACCTGTCGACAGCGAGCATTACCACTGGGTCGTCAGCCACCACGGCCGGCTTCAGCGATCCAAAGAACATCATTTGCAAGACGGGTGGTGAAGATGGCTCAGGAAACACGTGGCTGCTCCAAGACAACGCCCCGGGTTTCTGGGACGCCAAGTTCCGACACGGTTTCCGGCCGACCAAGTTACGCCTGTACAACACGCACCAGGATGGTCGGGGCACCAAGACATGGAGGTTCACAGCCATGCCCATCAACGGAATCATGAACTTTACCTACATCGACCCGGTGACGCATAAGAATGCGACATGCACCAGCGAGTGCCCGTTGAGCGACGACAAGTCCGTCGAGTTCCAGGACTTCCACTTTGTCAACCTCGTTGGCATGAACCAGTTCCGGTTTGATATCTCGGCTTTTTACGGCAATGGCGGTGGCTTGGATGGCCTCGAGCTTTTCGCCGACGATATTTCCTCGTATGCCGTGGACGACTTCAACGAGCCCACGTGTGCCGGCCTCGAGTTCCCATCGACAGCAACCAGTACGGGGCCGTGGACCGTCACGCCTTCGTACTCAAGCACCGCCGAGTATCTCTCCGCCCTACTTACGGCCCCCATCTCTAATAACTCAGCCTCCGTTGTGTTCTCGCCCGACATTCGGGAGTCCGGCCATTACTCGGTTGATCTGTATACCCCCGGCTGTCTCCAAGACAACACTTGTGCTACCCGCGGCCAGGTAAAGATCAGCGGGCAAATGACTGCCGACCCGACGAAGAGCGTCCCGATCGATGTCGACCTGTACCAGACCAACAACTTTGACAAATACGACCAGGTCTACTTCGGGTTTATCGACGCCAGCTCCGGCGGGTTCCGCCCCAGCGTTACCTTGACCCCTCGGGCCGGCCAGGATCTTGCGCAGATGACCATCGTTGCGCAGCGCATCGGCTTCACCTTGATTAACAGCACAGGTGGCCTCAACGGCCTGTACGAATACGCACCCGGGGCCGCTGTTAATGCCAGCGACTTCATGAAATCCAAGTTCAACCGCCTCGGAGGTAGCTTCGACACGGGCTCAACTGTCAAAGCCTTGGGAACGGTCGGCGACGCTACGTATATCGCGGGCAACTTTACCGGTGACCGCGGCGTGCGCAACATTGTGGCGCTCGAGGGTGACGATGAGAAGACTCTGTCGCTCGATGGCGGTCTTGATGGCGCGGTCAACACCTTGTTCATTAACGGAACCAACATTTTTGTCGGCGGGGCCTTCGCCGCTACCTCAGACGGGTCGACCAAGGACCTGCACAATGTCGCTATCTACGACACCTCCAAGAAGACCTGGAAATCACTCGGTGCGGGTGTCAGCGGCACGGTATCGCGGGTGGTGGGCATGACCATGAACGTTACCAGCACGACACCCGAGGTGGTTGTCAGCGTCAACGGAGAGTTTGACGAGCTCCGTGCTTTTGGCGGGCGCCCGGCCGTCAAGGTGAACGGGTTCGGTATCTGGGTGCCGTCGCAGAACAACTGGCTGCAGAATCTGGAGGGCTTGGCCGTCGAGTCGGTCGACGGCATCCTATCCGCGTCGATTCTCAACTTGGCCGGCCAGTCGCTGTATGCTGGCTCGCTTTCGGCTTCTAGCCTGGGCGTGAACGGCGCTGCTTCGCTTGGCAGCGACACGCTCGGCCGTCTTCCCGTGGACATTCAGCCGTCCACTGATTCTTCCTCGAGTGGTGTCACCAAGCGCGCCGATACGAGTGCGGCCACGAGCGATATCCGTGGTGTCACGACCGGTGTCTTTGACGTTGACAACGGCCGGAATCTGACCATTCTGGGCGGTCACTTTACTGCCAAGGCCAGCGATGGCTCGACCATCCACAATCTTCTCATCAGTGACGGCGCGGACAAGGACAGTGTGAAGGGGCTGGGCGATGGAATCTCGGCCAACTCGACATTCTTGGCCCTGGCGGTGGAGGGCGATATCCTGTTTGCTGGTGGCAAGGTCGAGGGCACTGTGAACGGTGACGCCGTCAGTGGCTTGGTCACTTACAACCTCGCCAGTCGGTCGTTCAACACTCAGCCTCCAGCGCTCTCTGGGGGGAACAGCACTGTTTCGTCCATCGCCGTTCGCTCGGCCACCAAGGACGTCTATGTCGCCGGTTCCTTCACCTCGGCCGGCTCTCTCGGCTGCAACAGCATCTGCTTCTTCAGCACCACCGCCTCGCAGTGGAATCAGGCCGGCCGCAATCTTGATGGCACTATCAGCTCGCTTCTCTGGGCCAGCGACAACATCCTCCTCGCCGGTGGCAGCCTCACCATCAATAGCACGGCCACCGCCTTCCTCGGCCGCTACGACACCAGCACCCAAACCTGGAATATCTTCCCCGGTGCCGAGAAACTCCCCGGGCCCGTCACCGTCCTAACCGCCGGAACCAGCGACGGCAACCAGATCTGGGCCGCAGGCACTTCCGCCCAGGACGGGTCCGCCTACCTCATGAAGTACGACGGCTCAGCCTGGCAGCGCGCCGGCGAATCCGCCCTGCAGCCCGGAACCGACATCCGCGGCCTCCAGATCTTCTCCCTCGCCGCTTCGCACGACGAGTCCCCGCTCCTAAATAAAGACGAGGCCCTTCTCATCACGGGTTCTATCGTCCTCGCCGACTTCGGTCCCGCCTCAGCCGTCCTCTACACCGGCAACAAGAAATTCACCCCCTTCGCCCTCACCACCACCTCATCTTCCTCCTCTTCCAGCGACAGCGACACCAGCTCCAACGGCGGTAGCATCGCCCGCGTCTTCTCCGAGCGCAATAGCTTCTTCTCCAAGAGCAACGCCAACTCCATGCCGCTCGGCTTCGTCGTGCTCATCGGCCTGGCCATCGCCCTCGGCCTGATGTTGCTGCTTGTCGTCGGCGGGCTGGCGCTCGACCGCCTGCGGAAACGCCGTGAAGGGTATGTGCCTGCGCCCACGTCGATGATTGATCGTGGGAATGGTATGGCGAGGATCCCGCCGCATGAGCTGTTGGAGGGGTTGGGGAGGAGAGGGGGGGTGCCGCAGGTTTGATTCGAGGGTCATGGGATAGATTTGCTTGGTTTGACTGAAGGGAGAAAAGGAACGGATAAACAGACCGACAGGCAAGACAGACAGGGCAACTTTGGGATGGGGTTATTTCGTTAAAAGACGGGTTGGGGAATATTGGCGTTCTATCTGCTGCTCTTTTTCTTTTTTTCTGTTTCTCGGGTGGGCGGGAAGATCACTTTACACGGGGATAAGGTGTTTAAACGGTTCTTATTTTTTTTTCCCTCGTACTCCCCCTTACAGCTGGGAGAGAGAAGGCGGGCGGGCAAGCGAGCAGCGAAGAAGGTTCACCCCCTTCCTCCACGCATACTCGCTCGCTTACCCTGCCTTGCGTTTGCTGCGTTGCTTTTTACTTTTCTTTTTCAACTCCTTCCCCATTTTCTTTCTCGCTCTCCCTAATTCCCTCTTCTTTTTCATTTTTTTTGTACCGAATATTAGTCGTCGTCGTCGCTTGTTTTCGCTGCTGCATGTTAGGCGTTTTGGCATACCATACAGCGGTTATACTCTTTTTTTTCTTCTGTTATTGTTCATTCTTCTGGTGGGTTGAGTTGGGAGGGGGGAGCGAGGGATGGAATGAGAGGGGGCGGGTGAGGAGAACATGGACAGACTGCGAGTGAGGGGGATTGAAGGTTCCCGGGTGTAGGAAAGGGACGGAACGGGAAGCGGGGTGTAGGAACAGGGAGATCAGGGTTGTGGTTGACTGTGTTGGTTCATGTTGCTAAGGATTCAAATAGCCCCGTGTGCTGGCTGTGTTGTTGTTGTGTTGTGGTGTTCGGTGTATCTAGTTTCGCTTCTCGAACTCGAAGATGGACTTGGACTTGGACTGGGCTTGCTTGACGGGCTGGGAGTAGGGACAGAGTCAGTCAGTCAGTTAGTCAGTCAGTCAGTCAGTCAGTCATCTATCTAAACTTCAGCGAAAGAACAAGTTTACCTTGCATTTATTTATTGTGGTAAGGAGATGTGTTGAACTTTGGCTCAGGTTTACTTTTCCCTCCTTTTCGGCAATCCCCAATGTCGTGTTGGAGTCGTGCCAGAACTGTTTCGTGTTAACTTTCACAGGAACATTTGCTGCGTACTGCGTGCCTCATATGTATTTGTCCAATTACTGTGAGATGGAAAGCTTCTACATCACATAAGGGCGGTTAATATGGGTAGCAATGAGGAAGTAGAGCCAGATATGTTACTACGAGTCTTACCCCTCCCTATCCTTTTCTTTACGTAGTCCTCGCGAGTGTGAGGTAGGTGAGACTGTGAGGGGGAAGCTAGGCTAGTTAGACCTGAGGAGTTGAAGAACGTATTAACACCCAGATACCGTTGCCTCATGTGAGAAGTTCCCTACAAATATGTCATAATGGGTTTAGCTAGGTGTCTATGTGCCTCGTGTTCTACCACTGTACTATTCGGGCGTGATATAATGTGTGTTAGGTCGTGGGTAGCAGTGTTTGTGATATGAACAATGGTTACTATGGCTTTGGATAATCGGTTTTCCGGTTGATATTATTCTGTTTCTCTAGGAACCATTACATGAAGTTTCAACAAACCACCCGTTATAGCTTCCCATAGCCAGCGAGGTGTATAAGTTCATTTATGCTGATAGAAGTTAGTGTCATGGATGAGCCTCCTGTTATCAATAGTCTCTGTTTCCCATCAAAACCCAGCGTAGAGAGGAATGGGGATAGAAGACGAAGGGAAATATCTTCCACTGCATCGGTTCCGAGTAAGAAGAATAGCCAAGGTAAATTCACCGTCTAAATCCTAAAGCCACAGCCTCGCGGTTGGTTCGAGTATCCGTGTCTACAATGCGCAGCTATCAACTACTCCACCACCTACCTACCCTTTATAACTTACGCTCATTACTACTCCTATGTAGACAGACATGAATGATTTGTTACCTCGATCACCCATGACGATGTCATGCCGCAAGCTCAGGATCCAAGCTCTTGATCATTTAAACTTCAAGCAATGAGGATGTTCCTGAAATAACCACGAAGTTGTCGCGAAGACAACCTAAATTCCAACATCCCTACGAAGCAAAGGATACGGAGCCCCAAGGTATACAAACTTGGACAACATACATCGGCTTTTATATACGTGTATTTCCAGCCCTGTCTCCCAATGAGCACGAGGACCAACGGGACTTTGTCTTCACAGTGGCCTCCTACCACCCCATGCCACTGGTCTCCATACACCACCGAATAATTCAATCCGTATCGTCACGTCCAAGGGAAGCACCCTTCTACGTAAAGATGCGCCTGTGATGCGTTCAGCATCCACTCGCTTCCTTTGCCCCGGACATATCAACCAAGTCATGCTCACTATGCTTTCTCTATCGCCGATGATTCATGAGCATTGACAGTCACTGGTCAGAATGTTCACATGTTGCCTTCGTCGAGACGTATACAAGACTGTTTAGTAGCCCGCCCCTTGGTCGCGAGGTAACTGCTGAAACTGACTCGTGAATGTCAAGGACATGACTACCTGGAAGTCACCATGCAGGGTAGTTCTCCCATGGCTCTCACATCATTATTCCCGAGTAGGGGCCGAGGGAGAGGAGAAGCAAATACGTTGCGGTAGAGTCACGTTGGAGTCACGACTCCAAGGACTCCAATCTCGAATCGGTCTGCCCCTTTTGTCCGTCTCGGTGGTCCTCAGGCTAATCAGTCCGGCCCTGCATTGGGAGCAGGCTAGATGCCTGTAACATTGGAGGCTGAATCTACGATGTCGAGTTGAGACGACTCCAACTCCCCGTCTGTCTCCCGGTCGCCTCATTCCGATGTCAACAACCGACCGTCACCGGAAAAGAGTGGTACGCCAACTTTTTTCCTTGTTATCCTCCGCACCGGCCCATTACAGGATGCCTGCTCCACGATCTGATGTGATGTTTATCAGGGTCGTTCCACTCGTTCATCAAACACGGCAATCACATTACCACCCCACAAACAACTCGATGGGCGCGTGGAGTATCATCGTCTAATGTGACTCTGTCGTTCCCACAGTCCCTTCCCGCCGGGAGGCAGCTCACCAAACCTTGGTTGTTGTCTCCAGACGGACCCCTTTTCATCCACATGTTACAGGCCACACGTTTCCCATTCGGTGTGCCCTGAGCTAAAGTGGAGTGAGACCCCAAAGACATGCATTGCCGCCCTGGAATTTCCCGTTGACCCCACCTGCCGAATATCTCGTTCGTCCTGTTCGGGGAGGAGGAAAGGGAGAACATGGAGCACCCGCGAAGCGCACCCATTACGTCGTCCACACCAAACAGCACGAAACAAGGAAAACAGAGAGAGATAATGGTTCGCCGAAAACAAGAGGCAGGAAACATACACCCCCCTCCCCCCTTCCCTTTCTTCCCCCTTCCCAGGAATCGGCTCATTTCGTCATACCCTCTTCCTTCTTCGGGCCTCAACCCCTGTCATCAGGCCACCACACCATGCCGCACCTTCCCTCAGGCCATGATGCCGGCCGGCCCCATTCTGCGGCCCATCTCCCGGCCCATCACCGGGAAGGAGCAAACAAAACACATCACAGCGCACGTGCAACACCTGTGACGTCTTTGGCCCCAATCCGCGAGATGAGTCGGGCATCCAGCTAGTTAATTACCAAGCTCGCTAAGTCGGGTATGTACACTTCCTGTGTATGTTGGCTGTTGACTCCTTACCCGGAAGCTCGGAAGAAAAGACCGCGGAGTGGGTGTGTAAGTGAGACTGACGAAAAGAGTTTTGTTCCCCCTCGCATCTGACTACACATCGCATCGCTATCCGACAGACTCTCACCCTCCGACCAAGATAATGCAAGAAACCCAAGCGAAGCGAGGCAAGACACGCCCTGTCGCCCCCCTCCTTTCCCCCCTCACTTTCCCTCCTTTTTTCTCACTCGCTCGCCCATTTATCAATCCTATCATTGGCCAACCTACCCATCTACACTCCCTATGTCCTCCCCACGACTTGTCCGCCACCCTTCCACCGGGACGAAGGCCGAGACAAAAACCGCCTCACGGCGGCTCCTGCGAGAGGAAAAAAACGAAAGGGACACACCCCCACAAACCACACACACACAAACTTGTGCCGTGCCGTGGCGTCTCGTTAAATTCCAAATTCCGCATCCCGGATTCTTCCCGTCTACCCGTTCTTCCGTATTGGGAAACTTCCTTTCTCTCTTCGCCTACGCTTTTGGGAACCCCATACCGTTATGGTATCTGCGGCTTTCGTTTGCGCATCGCTTAGAGCGGGGGTGACAAAGCCATTGTATGGAACTCGGATCACCACATGCTCTGCCCCCCTTTGCTAGATTCTCGGCCCATTGTGCTGGAGATAAGTGACATGCCTACCTTCAAGGGAAGTTACCAGGACAATGTTACAAGTACACTCGGCGACGCTAGTGTTTACTCCTCAACTACTAAGCGGAAACCGCCGCCTTGGGAACCCGGGTCATGGTAACAGTTAATACCGATGTTTGGCTCCTTTTAAGTAATAGTTATTGATATTGGTAATTGAACCACTAACACACTACCGGACTTGGATTTTCCATTTTGTTTTGTTAGCCGGTCAGTTCTGGGATTCTGATACACAATGCCAGTTCGTAAGAAATTAGTGTCAGTTAGCCTCACTGGCCTCAGCCTCGAGTTGTTGCGTACAATATTACCGAGCCTGACCGTCCTGTTAGTAAACTGTCTTTGTAAGTGGGTGAGTTTTATCAGCGTATTCCTAAACCAAGACACGCATGAGATTCATGTCTCTCCCACCGAGCGGGTTCGGCCCCCTCTCTTTGCTTCTCCTGTACAACATAATAACGTTAAGGTTACTCGCCCTCAGTATCATTGGTCGAAGCAGCTGAAGAGAGGTTCGCCCAGATCAGGAGCTGAACTGAATCTAGATGACTTGAGTGGAGAGAGAAAAAAACGAAGCTCAGAATTGGCTGAGCAGTCTCTCTGCCCTCTCTCCAGATTGGTCGTAAACACAAATCTTCCGTCCCCCCTCTCGTCCCTT